TGGTGACGCTGTACATTTATGTCCTTGATTCTTAGGGACTACACCTTAATGGAGGTTATGTGGTCCGATTTTATTATTACTTTCTCTAGTGAAGACGTCTTGCATCTATCAAAATACACTTTATTTTAGTGTCCCATATAAAGATTTACTTTTGGGCTAATCATTTATTACTTTCCATGGATCCCCCCCCTTGGATGTCTTCCTCTCCCTTTGCTGCCAAATGATCTTCAGTAAAATGGCTGCCGTCCGCATGCATCGCGCATGCGTGAACGGACTGTAATGACGCAGCCACACGAAACTGTACACACGCACGGTACGAGATAAAAAGGATCATGATTTGACAGGCACGCTCCCTTTGACAACGTGTATGGACATGAAACGCGTTAGAAAGGTGCCCTATTTTGGTGATGTCATTCCGCACGGCCCATGTGGACGGCCGGCGGCCATCTTGGTTTTCCTGATGTGAGTTGAAATACCTCCTGTTATGCTTATCTGAATTACTAATAAAGTACTACACTATTGGAGACTCTTCTCTCTGGCTTGTTTGCTATGAGCCCCCCTTTAAGGTGAATCCGTGTGACCGGGCGTATACCTATGTGAATGGTTCCCCCTGCTGGCTGATGATTGCATCTCTGGAGCCTGGATCTCCTCCTATGGTGTGTTACTTGCCTTGTTGTTGCTGGCCAGATGAGCCCCTGTGCAACATGTTTACAGACCCAGATGACCAGGAGTTGGTCCTAATTTACTCCAATGCACAATAGATTGCGCTTTCTGGTTAGTGCAATCTACATCTATTCTCATAGCCACAGCAGTCACGGATTTTCACCCTTATATTGTCGACTTTTGAAAATATTGGACTTTTATTATTTATGTCACTATATGCACTTTAAATGTCAAGTTGTGACGTTGTTCCACATAACTGTCCTTAGCGCCCTGGAGCGCAGTTCATACTTGTTATATTTCATTATATACGTATATGATATTACTTATCAGTTTTTTTATTAACATTTATGGATCCATATTGCTTTTATATTATCTATTAGTTTATTTATTGATATTTATCAATTCTTATTAGTTTTAGCGCTGCATATATGCATGCAAAAATGTTGATTGCAGTACACATATTACATATAGCTGTGTGAGAGTAGTAATTATAGGGCCATTATTCATGGTGAACTCTAAACTGATGACCTGTTAAGTCTCTTAAAACATATGGAAAATTCTGGGTACCGAAATTTGTCGTAGTTTCAGAGATGTGTGCAATTTTAAGGCATTGGGTATTAACACGATGCAACCTCATCTTTTATAGTTTACCAAAAAATTGGACAATATATTGTGCTTGGATGCCCTAAAATAAACTTTAGTGTATTTTTTTTTACAGAAAATTTGCACTAATATTTTGTGCAATTAAAATTTGGAACATGACTATTTTATTCTAAAAAAATCCAGTTCTCCGGAAAATATATATTGTTTGGGGGTTTTACCTAATCTACAGGCCTAGAATAATTTTTTTGAACCTGTGTGCAAAAGCAGCTCTGGCAGCAAAAGAGTTAAAATACAGTTCAGGAGATTCCCATTGCATCAAAGTTGTAGTGTAGAGGACAACTCAGAGGCTGCATTTACCCTGTTTTATGTTGCTTTTTTTTTTTTTGTCTGTACGAAGCACATCTTATTGAAGGGTGTTTGCATTACAGGCAAGGCAGGTCAATTGCAGCCTCTTCTTGTGAAGCAATACATTTTGCTAACATATGCATTTAAATGGAGAAGACTGCATTTGACAAGAATGGTTTTCTACATGAGGCCTACTTTGATACAACCAGTCTTGTTATTTATTATTATAATTATTCATATTTAGGTGCATTCTAGGTGACAGTGAACCAAACAAGGTGGGTGAAAGGGATCAGTATATCATAATGAACAATTACAAACTGATGGGCACTTTTATTTCTCACATAGAAGCTGCATATACAGTCAGGTCCATAAATATTGGGACATCGACACAATTCTAACATTTTTGGCTCTTTACACCACCATAATGGATTTAAAATGAAAAGAACAAGATGTGCTTTAACTGCAGACTGTCAGCTTTAATTTGAGGGTATTTACATCCAAATCAGGTGAACGGTGTAGGAATTACAACAGTTTGCATATGTGCCTCCCACTTCTTAGGGGACCAAAAGTAATGGGACAGAATAATAATCATAAATCAAACTTTCACTTTTTCATACTTGGTTGCAAATCCTTTGCAGTCAATTACAGCCTGAAGTCTGGAACACATAGACATCACCAGATGCTGGGTTTCATCCCTGGTGATGCTCTGCCAGGCCTCTACTGCAACTGTCTTCAGTTCCTGCTTGTTCTTGGGGCATTTTGCCTTCAGTTTTGTCTTCAGCAAGTGAAATGCATGCTCAATCGGATTCAGGTCAGGTGATTGACTTGGCCATTGCATAACATTCCACTTCTTTCCCTTAAAAAACTCTTTGGTTGCTTTTGCAGTATGCTTTGGGTCATTGTCCATCTGCACTGTGAAGCGGCGTCCAATGAGTTCTCAAGCATTTGGCTGAATATGAGCAGATAATATTGCCCGAAACACTTCAGAATTCATCCTGCTGCTTTTGTCAGCAGTCACATCATCAATAAATACAAGAGAAGCAGTTCCATTGGCAGCCATACATGCCCACGCCATAACACTACCACCACCATGCTTCACTGATGAGGTGGTATGCTTAGGATCATGAGCAGTTCCTTTCCTTCTCCATACTCTTCTCTTCCCATCACTCTGGTACAAGTTGATCTTGGTCTCATCTGTCCATAGGATGTTGTTCCAGAACTGTGAAGGCTTTTTTACATGTCGTTTGGCAAACTCTAATCTGGCCTTCCTGTTTTTGAGGCTCACCAATTGTTTACATCTTGTGGTGAACCCTCTGTATTCACTCTGGTGGCGTCTTCTCTTGATTGGTGACTTTGACACACATACACCTACCTCCTGGAGAGTGTTCTTGATCTGGCCAACTGTTGTGAAGGGTGTTTTCTTCACCAGGGAAAGAATACTTCAGTCATCCACCACAGTTGTTTTCCGCCGTCTTCCGGGTCTTTTGGTGTTGCTGAGCTCACCGGTGCGTTCCTTCTTTTTAAGAATGTTCCAAACAGTTGTTTTGGCCACGCCTAATGTTTTTGCTATCTCTCTGATGGTTTTGTTTTTTCAGCCTAATGATGGCTTGCTTCACTGATAGTGACAGCTCTTTGGATCTCATCTTGAGAGTTGACAGCAACAGATTCCAAATGCAAATAGCACACTTGAAATGAACTCTGGAACTTTTATCTGCTCATTGTAATTGGGATAATGAGGGAATAACACACACCTGGCTATGGAACAGCTGGGAAGACAATTGTCCCATTACTTTTGGTCCCTTAAGACGTGGGAGGCACATATGCAAACTGTTGTAATTCCTACACCGTTCACCTGATTTGGATGTAAATACCCTCAAATTAAAGCTGACAGTCTGCAGTTAAAGCACATCTTGTTCGTGTCATTTCAAATTCATTGTGGTGGTGTATAGAGCCAAAAATTTTAGAATTGTGTCGATGTCCCAATATTTATGGACCTGACTGTATGTATTAAATAAAATTTCTCATAAGGACACACATTTTCTGGATTGTATGAGCAGACAGGTGACACACATAGTTCTCAACTAATCAAATCATCTATCTGATTCAACAAATCCGATTCCTGTGTCATCTCACTGCTTACAACCTCTTCATTGGCCGTTGAATCAGCATCAGCTCCTCTCTCCAGTGAGTCCAGAGCTGACCCAGGAAGCTGCACTAATATACTAGTGAGTAGAAGATGATCACTTTGATTAGTAGATGTGTGAATCACAAGAATGGATGGCCCAAATCTCAAACCATTTGCCAGTAAAACACTAAATGTGTATTTAGCCTTTTGCCTAGAATTTTACTAATACAAATATTCTTAGTGTGTTTTTGTGGTGGTTTGTTAAAACCAAACTTTCCAGGTGAATCAAAACAAAACGTATGTAAAGTCTTACAGTGTGTCTTCTTTAGAAAGCAGCCACAGCCTGAGTAGAATATCCTGCTCCATGCCAGCATGATGTAGAGAAGGACCCTTGCTCTCTGCGTGGCAGCAGTGGTCTCTCTGCAGATTTTGCTCTGTCTGAGCCAAAGCTGGGGCTGTCCAAAAATAGGGAGCATGAGCTTTGCTATAAGCGAACTATAGGACCATTGCAGAGAGATCTGTATTTCCACACAGAGAACAAGGGCCCTTCTCTACAGCAGTATCAATCAACTGTTTTTTCAATGAAGGTACCCTTTACCAATTCTGCACAATCTAGAGGCACCCGAATTCTAAAATGTAAGCTAAGAGATTTACATAATGCAGCAACATCCACATATTTAGAACATCCAACATTAGAGGTGATCTATTCTTCCAAAGCAAACATACTTTTGCACACTGGCACTGACTAGTGTTCCAGCATTTCACATTTCCCTCAGTTTCTCTCTTACTCAGCTAATGTGACCCCAGTGGTAAAGGAGAAGGGCAGGGGAACGACAAACGAGCATGCCCGACACCCTCCTTATCAACCACTGACATCATTGGTTGCTAGGACATCCGCAGCTAGAAGGTTGTACTGGTGCACAATGAAAAGCTGTGGCTTTGTGTAACTAAAAGGAAGGCTTGATCCACCTGCTGGCTAGTATGCAAGTTTTAGGCATTTTGCCAAAGCAACCTAAAGACACCCCAGCATGCCTGGGCACCCGGGTTTGAAAAAGGCTGCTCTACAGTATGCTGCCAGGTTACAGGCTTCTCTGCATAGGCTGTGGCTGCTTTCTACAGCAAACCAACTGTCACACTTTGACCTTTTGTTTTGATGCACTTGGAATGTATTTAGCTGATTGAAACTGATAGGTCAAATCAGCTTTCAGTATCTTCTTTAGAAAGGCACAATTCAGAGCATTTGTACAAACATCAAAACCTCATGTTATAAATCAATGTTCATATATGTCCTCAAATCCCTTTCCCAGGCTTTAGTTTTGGCTTCCTTCCTTCTTTCTTCTTTTCTGCTGACAGTAGCTACCCTTTCTGTTCTCACATGTTTAGTCTGTGGCCCAATAACTGCCAGGGTGTCATTAGCAGCAAAATGTGTCACTTTAGGCTTCTGGTCACTGTGGAAGCCAAGACCTCTTTGGTCTCGCTTGAGAACTGTCTGAACAGGAAATTTTCTGCCTGTCCCTTCAGGTCCCAGGCCTGACTCCCGGTTCCAGCCTTCCTTAAGCATCATCTTAAAGCCCACGTTGTGCTCTGGGATAGCATAATATGTAGACGGAAGTTTCTTTTTCTTGTTGAAGAGATGTACTGTAGATCGTTCGTGTGTGTCTGTACTGTCTTCCTGATATTGTGTCTTGCAAACATTGCAGTATTTTTTTTCTAGCGGCTGTGTTCTGCAAAATAAAAAATGACAAGTCAGCACTACAGTTACTGCTAAAAAATAAGTTGTGCTTTCTTTTTATTAATGCTTTTCATAGTGGCGTTAGGTTAGAATTAAGTGACACTTTTTTCAAAACCTTTCAACATATGTAGTATTGTTATAACCCCTCCCCCTTTAAAACACAACCCGGACCCCAGGAAGATACAGTGCAGGTAGCGACTTTCTGAAAGTCTGTGTTTGCATAGGGCACCACCCCTGCCACCACCCCTCCTCCCCCACAGGGACAGTGTCCAGTTTAGGCATGAATTCCCTCAGGCATTACACATACATAGCGAGTTGGAAGAGCCTACCTAACCTAAAAATAAATGTTTAAATATCTGTAAGTAGTTTAATCTCTGGAAGTGTATGCCACCTCTTGGATCGTGTCCTGTTCTTCAAGCGGAACATGTTAACATGTTACATTCTACACCCATATTCAGGGTGTAACATGTTATGAATGGACTGGCCCTCCTACCCTCCGAATCCCCATTGTGACAGCTAGCAAGGGATCTACTTCTCCCTGCTAGCTGACACAATTTAGAAAAAAAAAAAAAACACAACATGGCTGGGCCAGCAGAGCCCTGCCTAGCTACTTTTTTTTTTTTAAATGATGACAGCTAGCAGTATTCTGTGCATGAGAACACTACAAGTTCAAACAGACTTTGCTGCTGTCGGCTTGTAGTTCTAAATGAACTACCATGGCACTGTAGAGTGCCATGGTAATTCATTGAGTCTTTAAGTAAATAAGTATCTGCTTTCCTGTATGGGATGTACGGACACACAGATACACCGACAGGTCTGCAGGAGACCTGCATGGCACCAGCAGAGGCTCCGGAAATAAAAAATAAATGCACATTTTTTTACCTGCAAAAAAAAATGTGCATTTATTTTTTTTTATCCTTGTATTAATTTTATATTATTCAAAGCAAACTCCCCCATCCATCCATGAAAACAAGTAAATATGATATAGATTCCTAACATTTTACTTATGCTAGCACCATTAAAAAGAGTCAATGTTGACTGAGAGAGTGAAGTTTCACTGTTACAATTAACAACTACACTGATGCCAGGAAGCGCTCCAACAGCAGACTTGCTGCTCTCTTACACAGAAGCCGTCATGTTTGCCCCTCCTCTTCCCTTGTCCATTAATAGAGCACCTTGTATTCTGTGAATAGGTTCACAGAATACAAAGTGTTCTGAGAACAGACAAGAGAAAGGGTTGGAGCGCCAGAAGTATCTCAAAAACTTTACTATCTGGCATTGGTGAAATTGTGCATCAGAAAGAACAGGCAGCAATCTAGAAAGAAGAACATACCTCCTGAGATGTATCTATATGTGACCTAGCAGATTAAAAAAAAAAAAAAAAAACTGAAGTTCATTTTTAAAGAATATGTCAACCCTAAGTGTCATATTCCTGATGTGTGCCTGCTCCATGTGCTTGTACACTGCTCAAAAAAATGAAAAGTACACTATGAAACAACATCAGATCTCAATGGGGAAAATATCATGCTGTATATCATGCTCTATACTGATATGGACTGGGTAATGTGTTAGGAACATAAGGATGCTCCATCGTTTGATGGAAATGAAAATTATCAAGCTACAAAGTACTAAATTCAAAGACACCCCGGAAATCAAAGTGAAAAAATGATGCAGCAGGCTAGTCCATTTTGCTGAAATTTCATTGCAGCAACTCAAAATGATACTCAGTATCTTGTATAGCCCCCACGTGCTTGTATGCATGCTCCTAATGAGACGGTGTCCTGGGTATTTCCGCCTAGATCTGGACCAGGGCATCACTGAGCTCCTGGACAGTCTGGAGGTGCAACCTAGTGCTGTCAGATGGACCAAAACATGATATCCCAGAAATGATCCATTGGATTTAGGTCAGGAGAGCATGGGGGCCATTCAATAGTATCAAATTCCTTCATCCTCCAGGAATTGCCTGAATACGCTCGCCACATGAGGCTGGGCATTTTTGTGCACTAGGAGGAACCCAGGACCCACTGTACCAGCGTAGGGTCTAACAATGGATCCAAGGATTTCATCCTGATATCTAATGGCAGTCAGGGTGCCAGTGTCTAGCGTGTAGAGGTCTGTGCGTCCCTCCATGACCCTCCTGTCCCTGACCCACCACAAAAACGGTCATGCTGAACGATGTTATAGGCAGCATAATGTTTTCCATGGCTTCTCCAGACCCTTTCATGTCTGTCACATGTGCTCAGGCTGAATCGGCTCTCATCTGTGAAAAGCACAGGGCACCAGTGGCGGACCTGCCAATTCTGGTGTTCAATGGCAAATGCCAATCAAGCTCTATGGTGCCAGGCAAGGAGCACAGGACCCACTAGAGGATGTCGGGCCCTCAAGCCACCCTCATGAAGTCTGTTTCAGTTTGGTCAGAGACAAGTACACCAGTGGCCTGCTGGACGTCATTTTGTAGGGCTCTGCAGTGCTCATCCTGTTCCTACTTGCACAAAGGAGCAGATACTGGTCCTTCTGATGGGTTAAGGACCTTCTACGGTGTTGTCCAGCTTTCCTAGAGTAACTGTCTGTCTCCTGGAATCTCCTTCATGCTCTTGAGACTGTGCTGGGAGACACAGCAAACCTTTTGGCAATGGCACATATTGATGTGCTACCCTGGAGGAGTTGGACTGCCTGTGCAACCTCTGTAGGGTCCAAGTATCGTCTCATGCTACCAGTAGTGACACTGACCCTAGCCAAATGCAAAACTAGTGAAAAACAGTCAGAAAAGATGAATAGGGAAAAAAATGTCAGTGGCCTCCACCTGTAAAACCATTCCTGTTTTGGAGGTCATCTCATTGTTGTCCATCTAGTGCACTTATTGTTAATTTCATTAACACCAAAGCAGCTGAAACAGATTAAGCACATCCTCTGCTACTTAACTGACCAGATCAATATCCCAGGAGTTTAATGGACTTGATGCTATACTGATTAATAAGTGTTCCTTTCATTTTTTTTGAGCACTGTATAAAAAAAAAGCATCCTGTGATTTTCCTGCTGCTTCCTTTGTGTGAAATTCCTGGTGTTTCTGCCAATCTCTCTGCTTTCCTATTAAAAACGAACCACACTAGGCATGAAAGCACAGCGTGGTCAGTTTTCTGGCTGTGCTGAGAACTCAGCCTGCTCTCTCCTCCAACGATCGGACTTGTGCCGACATCTCCCCTTCCGACACAACCATTCACTGGGAAGATCAGTGTGCTGCTATTTCTCCTCCCCAGCTCTCTAAGATCCTTATGCTCTGAAGCCTCCATAGAAATCTATGACTCAGCTCACTAGCAGCACCTGCAGCTTTTGAGGGGCTTTTATTCAAAGTTAACGGTGCTTTGTTTTGGAGGTATTGCAAGTATGAGATATCCTAGGATGCACTGGGAAACCAACAAGTGACCCAGAAAGATGTTATCAGCAGTCACATCTGGTTCACGTGTATATATTCTGGAAGTGTCTGGTGCAGATGTCACATCTGGTGTGCAGCATGGAGCAACAGAAAGGTGATCCAGGTCCAAACTCGAATGCAGCAACAGCAGATGGCACATATGGTGTGGAACATGGGAACGCTATAGCAGGAGAGCAGGGACCAGAGAGAGGATTGAATGGCAGAGGATCAGCAGAGCTAGGGGACCGGATCAGGAAAAATTAGCAATGTCACACATGGTGCGCAGCATGGGAGCAATATAGCGGGATGTAGACGGGGACCAGAGAGAGAGAAGGATCAGCAGAGCTGGGGGTTACTACTGAGCGCGGCATCAGCCGAGCTGGCGGTTACTACTGAGTTGGGGATCGGCTGAATGGGGGTATGACAGACTGTCACAGAGGATACTATTAAAATGGGATTCTACTGGGCCCCTTTAAAACAAATAGAAAATCAACACACATGGCATTTGCCAAGCTTCATTACAGCTTCAAAGAAACATCATTGAACCATCAAAAACACATTAAAAAAAAGCATTTTGAAGCAGTAAGTGTTAAAGTTGAAGCAGGTGAAAATTAACTTGAATTTTAATTTTTTATTTAGTTAAGATCCACAAAAATATAATTGTCTAGTGGTCTGATACTGTGCCTAGGGAAACATAAAATAATAAACGACCCTTACCTTGGTTGTGATGCCTCTGGCTGACTGTTCAAAGAATCCTGCAGAAGCGTGACAACCTCCTGGTGCCCTCCTTCTTCTGCTAACGTTAGAGCATCTTTGCCTCGAGTTTCACAAACGCCAACCCAGGCCGCTCCTCTTTTCAACAAGTAACTCACAGCCTCTTTTTTACCTGCAAATGCTGCACACATCAGCGGCGTCCAATAGTAGCCATCTCTAAAATTGATGTCACAATGTTCTTTTTCCACCAGCTGTCTCAAACCTTTCATGTCTCCATTTTGTGAAAATCTGAGCAGCTGGTGGCCCACTTTCTGGTTTGTTGGTTGCTGGACCAATGTATTTGGTCCACTTGCTGAAGACCCTACACGTGGCTCTTCGTGTGATGGAGACCTGTGAACTCTGCGCTTTCGAGGTTGTTTTTTCTTGAAGCTGGTGACTCTTCATCATTACCTAGAAGACTCTCATAGAAGCTTCTTGCCTCCTCCCCTGTAGTGCCAACATCATTTGATTTAGACAGTTTCCTATTAGTATGCTCTCCATTTTCCCACCAATCTGATTTTTCACGGGCCTTGGTGAATGTGATTAGCCTTGGAAAATTCATCCTCTAAGAAAGGAAAAAAAGAGTTGAAGAAAAGAGTCACATTTTCACATAAAAAATTAGGAAAACACTAATTTTGGACATTTGCTATGTAAAAATAAATGACCTCTAATGATGGGTGTCCCAAGCACAGATGGTACTGCACTAGATAAGACTATATGTTTCATTAACCTAAATACTACTGTAAGCATTGAACTTTGAGCGCTGAAACTTCAGTCACTTGCTCTCCACCCTCCTCTCCCCTCAACTATTCACAAAACATCATGTATACTTTTCATAGAATACAAGGCTTTCTGTAAATGAACATGTGGTGATTGTGGCATTCATCTGCCCCTCCTCTCCCCTTGTCCATGCACAGAACACCTTTTATTCTATGAAAAGAATGCAAGATGTTTTGTGAATAAATGAAAGGAGAGGAAGGGGAAGAGCAAATGACCTGCTATCTTTCACTGTATGAGAACTGTATGCTGGAAGTTCAGCAATCATAGTAGTGTCCTGGGTGAATGAGTTTTACCAAAAGCAGAACCATCTACACATGGAGGTAGAGGTAATTTATTTTTATTACTGGTGGGGTAGCTTTTCACAAACACAGTCACTTTGCCCTGAAAGGCCAAAGTGGCAGGTTCTCTTTAATACAATACCGAGCTACAAGCACATTATACGTGTAAATGAGACAAACTTCAAGAGTGATGTACATAGGGCCTTTTGATATATGATGTGTGACCTCAGCTGTCTGTAGTGGGTACATCGATTAGGGTAATAGCCTTGATCTTTACTAGCCTCTTGTAACATCTTCCCAATGTCATATTCTCAGCCAAAAATGCAGCATGCCCACACTCTTTGACTCTCCCTTTCCTCTATTAGGTCTGCAATTTCTGACAATCAAGCATTACATATATTGGACATTATGTGCAGCCCTTTGGTGATATCAGGGGCTGCATTTAAGGTCACCTTTAGCTCATAAGTTGACAATCACTAAAATAGGGTATTAGGTTCTATTCACGAGCAACAAGCTATTAAATTAGAAATTTAGAAAGATGTGAACTCCTGATCAGAACACTTTTTTCTGGTCTGTGCCAGAAGTATGATTCTATAGGATCAGCATGACAGCCTTCTCTGCCTCCTAAATTACTTAACAGGTGCAAGTATGTGCACTGCAGGTATATACACATGCTTGCTTTAGGTCACTGACAAAGAAAGGATCAGGGTGGCAACCCTGGACCCTGCACCTTTAATCAGACCTTCAACTTCATTTTCAGTATTCTGAAATTTTACTTTAGGGAAATCCCTTTTTTCATCTTGCCATCCCTGTGCTTCCATATTTCTTGCCTAGGTGAGATTGACGTAGTCTGTACTGCATGTGCATGTGGGATTTGCGCCTCATGCATGTGCACTTAATGCTCTAGCGCAGGGGTCTCCAAACTGTTTAAACAAGGGGCCAGTTTACTGTCCTTCAAATTATAGGTGGGCCAGACTGTGGCCCTTTGGGAGTAAACAATGCCATCGCTGGTATCAGTGGGAGCCACAGTGCTCCATCATTGGTTTCATTGACAGGAATAGTTTCCCATCATTGGTGTCAGTAAGAGCAACAGTGCCCCATCGTTGTTGTCAGTGGGAGTAATAGTGCCCTATCATGGCTATCATTGAGGACAATAGCGCCTGATTTGTGTTGTCTTTGAGGCAAGCAAAGGGCCACATCTGGCCCCTGGGCCGCAGTTTGGAGACCACTGCTTTAGCAAGATCTTTTTGGTTTGGTTTACATGCTGCCATCAGATTGGTAATGTAAGCACCAAAAAGTACATTGCGAGGCTGTGCGGTGACATGTTCCTACCGCGTGCACTGTGGAAGAATGCAGACATGCTGCACATCAAACCAGCATTGTGATGGGGACAAGGCACAGAGAAATTATATATTATAAATGGGGGTGTGCTTGTCATTGCAAGAGGAAGGTGCAGAGATTATCAGAAGTTTTAAACTTTCCACCAGCTATGTAATTTGTTTTTGTCTGTATCTCCATTGATGGGAAGTTTCTCTAGTACGGATGTAGATGGCAAACCAAACAAGAGGATCTAACCCTTCGCTGATTTAGCTAAAAGAGAACATAAAGCTTTGTCTAGAGCTGGAAGGTACAAGACTGAAGCTGGGGGACCCCGACTCCTGTACTACAAGGACCCCCAGATATTTCAAGGTTTGCCACTGCATTCACTTCTCCTTTAAGTCTAAATGGACCTGGGTGCATTTGCTCGTGCAGAGTAAACAAGCTATGTATTTTTGGTGCCCAGGATGTCCTGATGGTGTACAGCTACCTATAGACATGAATGGGTGATGGCGGATGTATGCAGCCACTAGTGTAAAGCAGTGCATGCACACAGATGTGATGACCCAAACACAGGACATTATGTCAGTGCCTGTGCGCTACTTTACACCAATAGCTGCACACAGCTGCCTTCACCTATTAATGTCTATGGCAATTTGTTCTCCTCTCCAGGGCACCAGAAATACGCAGCATATTTATTTACTCCATGCAAGTTTATGGATCATGAACGCCTGCCTGAAAACATGATCATTTTAAAGGAAAGCTGGTGTGAGAAAATGATGTCGGCTACCATTGCTGACCTCCTTTGGGAAATGCTAGTTGCCTGGCTGCCTCCAGCATTAGTAATTCCTGAGTCGCAGCGGTCGGTCCTCTAGGGTCACCTCTTCAGCAGCAAAGTATCCCTGGAAATCATATAAAACAGGTATAACTGCAGGTTTTTCACACTGTGTCCACGTACAAGCTATAATAAACATTTAATAAGCATGCTGTCTATAAATAGCCCATAACAGCCTCTCTCTGTAGGTAAGCACATTGCCTTGTTGTCACAGCAACCGATAAACCGCACACCCCGTGTCCAGAATCCGCCACTTCCTGTTCAAGTAACGAGTACTCACCCTTCGCAGAAATATCTCTCACCTTCTTATGGGAAGCCAGCTAGAGCTGGAGGGAGGATGCTGCACATCGAGGGGTGGACAGGAGGATGTGACATCACAGTCATGTGACGATCATGTGACCCACCTACAGCCAAGCTGAATGGCTTGCCACTCCCCTTCCTGGCAGGCAGCTCAGCTGGTTGGATTGGTTAACCCCTTCTGTGCTGGAGTCCTCTTCCCTGGATTGTACACACTAGATTTCATTGCTTTTGTAATCCATGCTCATAGATCACGTTTCTTCTTTTTTCTGGACAGAGCTCTTTGATTTTGGATGTGTGGATGAATATTTTTATTTCATAGGTTTTCATTTGAAAGAAGGAATAAAAATAAACATGATCTCCCCCCCTTCCCCCAAAAAACAACGTTATATAGACTAGGTTCAGACCTTTATGTGTTGGGAACAAGCACAAAATAGCAGGCTTTCCCAACATGCACAGAAACATGCTGAAGTGAGCAGACAGGGCTATTAATTGTTAACCACTTCTAGTCCGGACACTTTTACCCCCTTCCTGTCCAGGCCAATTTTCAGCTTTCAGCGCTATCACACTTTGAATGACAATTGCGCGGTCAACACTGCAACACTGTACCCATATGAATTTTTTAGCAGTTTTTGAGACAGATAAAGCTTTATTTTGGTGGTATTTATTCACCACTGGGATTTTTATTTTTTTTTTGCTATGTAAATGAAAAAGTCCAAAATTTTTGAAAAAAAGTGTTTTTCTTATAAAATTTTGCAAATAAATAATATTTCATCATAAATATTGGCCAAAATTTATTCCGTTATCTTTTTAGTAAAAAAAAAATAACCCAAATTAGTTTATACCAAAAATTATAATTTTTAAACATTTTTATTTTTTTTTATATTGGTTTTTTTTTTTTACATACTGTCACACTAGCAGTACAGTGTCACCATGGTGACACTGCACTACTTGTGGGAGTGAAGATTTTTTTTTTTTTTACACTGATTGCTTTTACACCCATGAAGGCTGTAAAAGCAATCATTTCTATTTCTCTCTGGTTGCATTCTTGCAGCCATTGAGAACTACTGTGTGAGCTGTGATTGGTTACAGCTTGTCACATGGTACAAGGCTGTTGTGAATAGCCTTGTACCATGTGACCTCTGTGATCATTCACAGATTTCACACGTAGTAAGCAATGTCAGAAGTGATATCTTGCTTACTACTCTGCATGTGATCACTGATTGGCCAATCAGTGATCACATGATCGGGACCTCGCACACAGTACGATCAGTGTTCCACTGTGTCCGGAGGACACAGCGGGCACTGGATTGTGGTGCTGCGCGCTCCCAGGGAGCGCTGACAAGCAGGGGCGGGGAGGCCGTTTATAAATGGCCACCCAACCCTGCACTACCACTGTCCGGCCATTTATATACAACGGCCTGACGGGAGGTGGTTAAAGTAGAACTGCAGGCAAAACTTTTTTTCTGGTCTTTTTTTTTTGCCATCTGTGTCCCATAGGGAATATTTCCCTTCACTTCCTGTCCTATTGCCAAAACAGCAAGTGAGAGAAAGTGAGGTAATCTCTGGTTGTTGGCAGGGGCACAAAAACTAGTGTCCCCATTGGATAAAATCCTTGCATTTCCTGCTCTGGGGACAACCCAAAATTAGGGATTTTATTTTACTTTCAGTCTTGGTGATATTGGTAAACAGGACAAATGGAGAGGGTGAATCTCCCTAATGGGTACATAGAAAACAATAAAAACCTGACAGATGGTTCTAATCCATCTCCACTTTATCCAAAACTAAAAAAAGGTTTACATTGCGTTATACTTGAAGGAAAGGTTTTCATGCAGAGCTTCACTGTTCCTTTAGGGAAGGCCAGTTTCCACCATTGTGATACAGCAATGTGTCAGTGTGATGTGGTGCTTTTTCACCCCATCACATCTCCGCATGTTTACATTGCAGTGCAGTGCAACAACTTACTAATAATTAGTACATCACACTGACAACAATGCTGCATGCATGATTTTGGTTTGATGTGGTGCACTGTGAAGCCTAGCACAAGTTACGGCTCATTTACATTTGCTGCTGGGGGTGCTGAGCCACTTATTGTTCCCAACCAGCAGCGGCGGCAAAAATTAAACCAACATTAGTGCTCAATGGGCTATTTTCATAGATTTTAGCACAAATCTGAAGAGGAGTAAATGTCCTGCATGACATCCAGGTGTTAAAGAGTCCCTGTTAGGTTACAAAACGATCCTGCCAAAAGTTTCTGTAACAGAAGAGGTTTTATATTCATCGCTTCAGCACCCCCAATGTCTCCTACCTCCCCTCCAGCACCGCAGCCTACATATAAGAATCGTAAGCATTGGACACCTCTGGGAGTGTTGGATGCCTGTGTCTCCCCCACTGCATGCTGTGGTTGCTTCCATTGACCCCTATGTCACGGCTGAGCCCTACAGTGATAGAGGTCAGAGGATGGAACCATGGGGGGGGGGGGGGACAGACATCCAAAACACGCCAAGAATTGTCCAATGCTTAAGACTATATGGAGGCTGCAGAGATGAAACACAGACTTGGTGCCATGTACTACACTTTATACACACACAGACACTATATTGCCAAAAGTATTGGGATGCCTGCCTTTACACGCACATGAACTTCAACTGCATCCCAGTCTTAGTCTGTAGGGTTCAATATTGAGTTGGCCCACCCTTTGCAGCTATAACAGCTTCAACTCTTCTGGGAAGACTGTTTTCAAGGTTTAGGAGTGTGTCTATGGGAATGTTTGACCATTCTTCCAGAAGTGCATTTGTGAGGTCAAGCACTGATGTCAGATGAGAAGGCCTGGCTTGCAGTCTCCGCTCTGTTCTATCGGGTTGAGGTCAGGACTCTGTGCAGGCCAGTCATGTTCCTCCACCCCAAACTCCATCATCCATGTCTTCATGGACCTTGCTTTGTGCTCTGGTGCGTAGACATGTTGGAACAGGAGGGGGCCATCCCTAAACTGTTCCCACAAAGTTGGGAGCATGAAATTGTCCAAAATGTCTTGGTATGCTGACAGCTTAAGAGTTCCTTTCACTGGAACTACGGGGCCAAGCCCAACCCCAGAAAAACAACTCCACACCATAATCCTCCCTCCACCAATCTTTACACTTGGCACAATGCAGTCAGGCAAGTACCGTTCTTCTGGCAATCGCCAAACCCGGACATGTCCATCAGATTGCCAGACAGAGAAGCATGCTTCGTCACTCCAGAGAACACATCTCCACTGCTCTAGAGTCCAGTGGCGGCGTGCTTTACACCACTGCATCCGACGCTTTGCATTGCACTTGGTGATGTAAGGCTTGGGTGCAGCTGCTCTGCCATGGAAACCCATTCCATGAAGCTCAGTACGCACTGCTGTTGTGCAAATCTGAAGGCCACACAAAGTTTGGAGGTCTTTAGCTATTGTGCACTGTGTGCTTCAGCATGTGCTGACCCCGCTGTCATTTTACATGGCCTACCACTTTGTGGCTGAGCTGCTGTTGTTCCCAGTTGCTTCCACTTTGTTCTAATACCACTAACAGTTCACCGTGGAATGTTTAGTAGCAAGGAAATTTCACAGATAAACTTATTGCACAGGTGGCATCCTATCACGGTATTACGCTTGAATTCACTGAGCTCCTGAGAGCGACCAGTTGTGTCACAAATGTTTGTAGAAGCAGTCAGCATGCCTAGGTGCTTTATTGCATACACCTTTGGCTATGGAAGGCCATGAATCCAATGATTTGGAGGGGTGTCCCAATACGTTTGGCAAAATAGTGTGTGTATATATATATATATAGTATATATATATTAAAAAGTGTATTTGTACAGAGACACCGTGCAACTATTTTGGGGATGAGAGCGGAAAGCTAAGGTCATAATGGTTCTGAATGTTTTGGGGAGGACAGTGACATTGGGGGGGGGGGGGGGGGGCAGTGGCAGTAACATGGGGAGGACAGTGTAATGCACATGTGGGAGCAGTGACATGGCGGGGCAGTGTCAGGCACAAGCAGTGACAGTGACATGGGGGTGAGCAGGGGCAGTGGCGTGGGGGGGGGGGGGCAGTATCAGGCACATGGAGGGGGTGTCAGTGACATAGGGGGGCAGTGGCATGGAGAGGACAGTGGCAGTGACATGGGCAGGGGGGGGCAGTGTCAGTAAGGGGGGGGCAATGGCAATAACATGGAGATGACAGTGTCAGTGACATGGGTGGGGGGGCAGTGTCAGTGACATGGAGGTTGCAGTGTCAGTGACATGGGGGAGGACAACTTCAGTGACATGGGGGGAGCAGTGGCAGTGACATGGAGGTTGCAGTGGCAGTGACATGGGGTGGAGGCATGACATGGGGAAGCAGTGTCAGGCACATGGGGGGGGGGGGGGACAGTGTCAGTGACATGGTGGAAGTGTCAGTAACATGGGGAGGACAACATCAGTGACATGGGGGGCAGTGATATGGGGGGCAGTGATATGAGGGGGGCAATGTCAGGCACATGGAGAGAATGACATGGGGGGACAGTGTCAGTGACATGGGGGGGGGGGGGGGGTGTCAGGCACATGGGGGGGGGGGCAGTGACTGGGACATGGAGGTTGCAGTGTTAGTGGCATGTGGAGGACAACATCAGTGACATGAGGGGAGCAGTGTCAGTGACATGGGGGGGGGGGGGGGGGGGGGCAGTGTCAGGCACAAGGGGAGACAGTGTCAGTGACATGGGGGGGACAGTGGCAGTGACATGGAGAGGATAGTGGCAGTGACATGGGGGGGGGGGCAGTGTCAGGCACATGGACGGGACAGTGTCAGTGACATGGGGGGACAGTATCAGTGACATGGGGGCGGGCAGTGTCAGGCACATGGGAAGCAGTGACAGTGACATGGGGGGGACAGTGTTAGTGAACAGGGGGGGGCAGTGACATGGGGGGGCAGTCAGTGAAATGGGTACAGTGGGGCGGGACAGTGATCGTGACATTAGGGAGGACTGTTCTCCCCGATGTCGCTATCACTGTCCTCCCCTTGTCACTGACACTGCCCCCTATAACACTCACACTGTCCTCCCCATGTCACTGCCACTGCCCCCCCATGTGACTACACTGCACCTCCATATCACTGTCACTGCCCCCCCCATGTGACTACACTGACACTGCATCCTCCATATCACTGACACTGCCCCCCATTGTCCTCTACATGTCACTGCCACTGCCCCCCCCCATGTCACTCACACTGCTCCCCATGTCACTCACACTGTCCTCCCCATGTCACTGACCCCGTAATTTCACTGCCACTGCCCCCCCATGTCACTGCTCCCAACCCATGTCACTGACACTGTCCTCCCCATGTCACCGCCACTGCCTCCCCCGTGTCACTGACGTCCTCCCCCCCATGTCACTGCCACTGCCCCTCCCCCCCATGTCAATTCACTGCGCCTTCCCCCCCATGTCACTTCACTGCGCCTTCCCCCCATGTCACTTCACTGCGCCTTCCCCCCAATGTCACTGACACTGCCCACCTCCCATGTCACTGCCCCCCCATGTGCCTGACACTGTCCCCATGTCACTGACATTGCCCCCCCATGTCACTGTCCCTCATGTCACTGACATTGTTCTCCCCATGTTACTGACACTGCTCCCCCCCATGTCACTGTCACTGCAACCTCCATGGCACTGCCACTGCTCCCCCCCCATGTCACTGACGTTGTCCTCCCCCCATGTCACTGACACTGCAACCTCCATTTCACTGCCACTGCCCCCCACCTATGTCACTGACACTGTCATCTCCATGTCATTGTCACTGCCCCCCCTTACTGACACTGCCCCCCAAGTCACTGACACTGTCCTCTCCGTGTCACTGCCACTGCCCCCCCCATGTCACTGACACTACCCCTCCATGTCACTGCCCCCCCCATGTCACTGACACTACTCACCCCCCATGTCACTTCACTGCTCCCCCCTCCTCATGTCACTGCCACATCTCCTCCCCTATGTAACTGCCACTGCCCCTCCTCCCCATGTCACTGCTCCCCCCATGTCACTAACAAACCTCCTCCCCTATGTAACTGCCACTGCCCCTCCCCCCATGTCACTGCCACGCCTCCTCCCCTATGTCACTGCCACTGCATCCCCCATGTCACTGCTGCCACTGCTCCCCCCCATGTCACTGCACCGTGACATGTCACTGCCACTGTCCTCTCCATGTCACTGACACACTACCCCTCCATGTCACTCACTGCAACCTCCATGTTACTGACACTGCTCACCCCCATGTCACTGCCACATCTCCTCCCCTATGTCACTGACACTGCCCCCCCATGCCACTGTTCTCCACCCATGTCACTGTCCCCCCCTCCATGTCACCGCCACTGCTTCCTCCATGTCACTTCACTGCGCCTCCCCATGTCACTGAGACTGCCCCCCCATATGTCAGTCAGACACTGCTCCCCCCCCCAGTCACTGACACTGTCCCATGATCCCAGTAACTGACACTAACATGCCATGTTACTGACACTACCCGCCATATGTCCCCCCCAAGTCACTGACACTGTCCGATGCTGCCCGATGTCGCTGCAGAGAATTTGGCATGTAACAGCCCCCGCCGACCACTCGGCATGTAAGGGGTTAATAATTCTCTGTGTCCCCCGCCGATCCTGTCTGTGTCCAGCTTGGATGCAGTAGTTCTATAATCGACTAATCGTCCCTGAAACCGGAACATGCGCAGTTGCTTCAGGGGATACACATCTTCACGGCATACCTATTTTACCGCTACACCGGCCCCTCCCACATTTGCGAAAACTACCATTCCCAGCATTAAGAGCGGGTGTCTCCTAAACCCGCCTCTTCCGGGTCGCGCTTGCGCAGTGACGGGGACCGGGCCTAGTGTGTGGCGGCGGGTGAGAGCCGGGAAGATCCGCCGTGCAGACGGGAGGAGAGAACAGGTATGAGTGCTGCCAGAGCCGCCCTATTCGGGCATACTGAGACCCGACATCAGTCCTTCCTACTGACCACACTCCTCACCCCATGTCTATGCTCCCCTACACCTCACTGACCGAACTCCTCACCCCAGGTCTATGCTCCCCTACGCCCCACTGACCGCACTCCTCACCCCAGGTCTGTGCTCCCCTACGCCCCACTGACCGCACTCCTCACCCCAGGTCTGTGCTCCCCCTGCGCCCCACTGACCGCACTCCTCACCCCAGGTCTGTGCTCCCCCTGCGCCCCACTGACCGCACTCCTCACCCCAGGTCTGTGCTCCCCTACGCCCCACTGACCGCACTCCTCACCCCAGGTCTGTGCTCCCCTGCGCCCCACTGACCGCACTCCTCACCCCAGGTCTGTGCTCCCCTGTGCCCCACTGACCGCACTCCTCACCCCAGCTCTGTGCTCCCCTACGCCCCACTGACCGCACTCCTCACCCCAGGTCTGTGCTCCCCTGCGCCCCACTGACCGCACTCCTCACCCCAGGTCTGTGCTCGCCTGCGCCCCACTGACCGCACTCCTCACCCCAGGTCTGTGCTCGCCCTGCGCCCCACTGACCGCACTCCTCACCCCAGGTCTGTGCTCGCCTGCGCCCCACTGACCGCACTCCTCACCCCAGGTCTGTGCTCGCCTGCGCCCCACTGACCGCACTCCTCACCCCAGGTCTGTGCTCGCCTGCGCCCCACTGACCGCACTCCACTCACCCCAGCTCTGTGCTCCCCTACGCCCCACTGACCGCACTCCTCACCCCAGGTCTATGCTCCCCTGCGCCCCACTGACCGCACTCCTCACCCCAGGTCTGTGCTCGCCTGCGCCCCACTGACCGCACTCCTCACCCCAGGTCTGTGCTCGCCTGCGCCCCACTGACCGCACTCCTCACCCAGGTCTGTGCTCGCCTGCGCCCCACTGACCGCACTCCTCACCCCAGGTCTGTGCTCGCCTGCGCCCCACTGACCGCACTCCTCACCCCAGGTCTGTGCTCGCCTGCGCCCCACTGACCGCACTCCTCACCCCAGGTCTGTGCTCGCCTGCGCCCCACTGACCGCACTCCTCACCCCAGGTCTGTGCTCGCCTGCGCCCCACTGACCGCACTCCTCACCCCAGGTCTGTGCTCCCCCTACGCCCCGCCCCACTGACCGCACTCCTCACCCCTGGGCTGTGCTCCCCTACGCCCCACTGACCGCACTCCTCACCCCATGTCTGTGCACCCCTACGCCTCCCACTGACCGCACTTCTCACCCCATGTCTGTGCACCCCTACGCCTCACTGACCGCACTTCTCACCCATGTCTGTGCACCCCCTACGCCCCACCGACCGCACTCCTCACCCCATGTCTATGCTCCCCTACGCCCCACCGACCCACTCCTCACCCACCCTCATGTCTATGCTCCCCTACGCCCCACTGACCGCACTCCTCACCCCAGGTCTATGCTCCCCTACGCCCCACCGACCGCACTCCTCACCCCAGGTCTGTGCTCCCCTACGTCTCACCGACCGCACTCCTCACCCCAGGTCTGTGCTCCCCTACGCCTCACCGACCGCACTCCATATCGCATGTCAGGGCTCATCCACACCTCACAATCCTATACTCCACTGACCATATCTACTGCACTCCATATTTAGTGACTCAGGCCAGCTCCCTTTATTCCCTAGTTCTGTCACCATTTACCCCATTGCTCTTCATACTGCCCGCTTCCCCATTCCTCCACTGACCGCTGTGTTCTCCGGTGTTGGCGCCAAGTGTCGTTCTTCTAACCACTTGGTTCCCCTCATTCCCAGAGTCCCAGGGAGTCACCATTTTGCTGTGTTGTCATCCTCCCACTGTTCTGCCACTTCACAGCTTTCCTCCTCCTCCAGTCATCCTTGTACTCAGTCTTTCCACATTACATCTTTTTATTCTATTCTCACTCATTGTTCCTGGGCACACCCCCTGTCGTTCCCCCATCCTGTCTCTCCTTTCACCTTTTCTCCCCCTGTGATTCTTTTTTTCTGGTCATCTCCTTCATATGGATTTTCTGTTTGTGCTGATTTACAGCAGGTAAAATACATTCTCCCCATAAACCCCCCCCCAATCTTCCTCCTTTTTCCCGGTTGCCTTCTCTCTCCATGGCCTTCCCTCCTAACATACCCTTTGCCCCAATCTGAATCTTGTCTCTGTCTGGCGGGTTCCCTCCAGTCCCTGTCATTGCTGCCCTAAATGTTTTTTCTTGTCTTGCCTAACCTGATAGTCTTTAAAGGGTTAGTTTACCTTTACAAAAACACTGCCCATGCAGGTAAGTGGTGTCTGTAGATAAAGAAAACTGCAGGTTTGACTAAAATTTAATAATGCTTTACTATAGGTGTAGGTCATGTACATACTTCCCAAAACCTGACTGGAATACTCCCAGGTTGTTACTAAGTGAGGCCTAGTCTTTACTGTACACCTCCTCCATCATATGCCTCACTTAGCAATGTTCTGGGAGTATTCCTGTCTGCCTTTGACGGGTATGTAAATGGCCTACACCTATAGCAAGGCCATTATTCAACTTTGATCAGAGCTGCACAGTTTGTTTTTATCTACAGACATTACTTATTTACATAGGCAATGTTTTGGTAAACATGAACTAACCCTTTGTCTTTTGATCTGCAGCCTTTAAGATGAGTAGTTCAGAAGAGGTGTCCTGGATCAGCTGGTTCTGTGGATTAAGAGGCAATGAATTCTTCTGTGAGGTGAGCAATCCTAGCTTTCTATCCCGTAGAGATGGGTAAAGTTTTCCAGGTTTACTGTCTCTTTACCTAGTTTCCTTGGGCCAAAGTGGCCTAAGCAAATTATTTTCTACAATAACAGGTGCACCTGCTGGGTGCTTCAGCTACATAGAGTATACGGACTTGTGTTCCGACAGTGGGTTGAGAACTTCCTGTCTTCCACCCGGAACAAAATAGTCGGGTTGAACATCACTCATAGGCAGCTTTGTTTTCTCTGAATGAATACAGTTTCTTCTGATTGGCTGAGATGGAGAGGTGGTTAGTTGATGTCACAAGTTCTGACGCCAATACAAACTGTTCCATTTGTGAAACAAGAAGTTCTCGACCCACTCCCGGAACTTGGTATACTGTATATAGCTTAACCTACATGCAGCTTATACAGAGTGCCCAGTGGGCACACTTGTTAATGTAGAAAATAGTACGTTTGGGCCAGATTGCTAAACCAAACGTATTTTTTGCTTTGGATGCAGTAGGGAAAGAGTAGAACCCCAGTCATGTTTTTATTGCTGTCTGGGCCCTCCGTAAGCAGATTTGTGCTTTCTCCTGATGACCATTGTTACCCAAACAGAAAATAATGGGGAAAATAAACATTTGAGTTGTCATCAGCACAGGAATTTAGGAGAAATCTTCCAAAGGGGCACTTGTTCTGGTGACACCTATGGGGGATTTCGCTCAGTTTAGAAATGTTTCCTGTCACTTCCTGCTGTGTTGACAGAAATTAAAGGGATATCTCCCCAATGGGCCACAGATTGCAAAAAAAAAAAAAAACTTACAGGGATTGTACACACATGCGTGGTCTTTTCATTCCTTTTTTTTTTTATTTTAATCCGCAAGAGTGTGCAAATTCTCTGTTGATATGTTGCCTCCTGGGAATATGTAACATGGGTACAGGCGTGTGGAATTTTTTTTAAAAAACTACTTGTCCAGGGACTAAATCGGGGTCCCAATCTGCTTGTCCCCCATGACAATCTACTTGTCCTGATAAAAAAAAAAAAAAAAAAATTTCTTTTTAACCAAAACCGTATTTAAATCAAAGGTGTCTGGGGCTTTTAAAAACAAAAGGGGCGTTATTATTATTATACAGGATTTATATAGCGCCATGCTTTATTGCGACTTAAACATGTAATATTTTTATCATTGCACGGTTTATCTCCTCCTCCCCTCCCTGCCTGTCTCCAGCACCGCACCCGGGGACTAGCAGGGAGGAGAGACCTTGCTGTGTAGTGAGCACCAATTGGCTGCTTGTCAGGAAAGGGGGGGGGGTTCAGGGCTTATACTTTATCCCTTTCGCTGCCAGAGCCGTTTTTGCATTTTCGCTGCCAGAGCCATTTTTGCATCTTTTGCACACGTTTAAAAAATAATTTTAGGCCTGAAGATTACATAAAACCCCCAAACATTATATATTTTCTGAAAGCAGAGGCCCTAGAGAATAAAACTGTGGTAGTTACAGTTTTTTGTCGCATGATTTTACCACATAATTTTAGTAAAAAACACAAGTAAGTTAATTTTAGGGCACAAAAAAAGCAATAAATTACCCTATTTTTTTGTAATCTATAAAAGATGAGGTTGCACCAAGTAAATAGATATCCAACTTGTCAAACCTTAAATTTGTGCGTGTTAGTGAAATGGCGACAAACTTCAGTACCTTATATTTCCTATAGGTCGACACTTATACAAAGCTCCTTATAGGTCACCAGTATAGTGTACAGAGGAGGTCTGGTGCAAGAATTATCGCTCTCATCCTGGCGTGCGCGTCGATATGTGACATGAGTATTGCAATTGACGGTTTCATGCGTAGGCGCCCCAGCGTTTGTGCTTTTATGTTTGTGTGTATATGTGGGGGCCTCAATATTTTTTTTTTTGGGGGGATGGTATGTGCTTGGGTGTAACTTTCATTTTTTAAAATAAAAAAAAAAGTTTTTTTCTTTTCACTTTTTTTTGCATGTCTCCCCTCTGCTCCACTGAATGTAATGTGCACATCTGCACCATATTACATTCATTCCTGGGATTGTATTGCAATCCCTTATTGGGGACCCGGAAGTGACATCATAACGTCACTTCCGGGTCAGCACAAGAAGGGGAAGGGAGCGGACTTGTCCGCTCTTCTCCCTCCCCTCTAGCCGACGGCGAGCCGTGCCCCGCAGATGGGCAAGCGGAGCCCGGGAAACCTCATGGTGGGGGTGCGGACAGGCTGGCAATGTGTGAAAGCAATCAGCGGCAGCGCTGCTGCCAATTGCTTCACCTGACAGGTGAGCCCACTACTTGCCCACAGCAGGGCTAAATGTAGAAAGAAGCTACCTGCCTGGAACTACATGTCCCAGGCGTCGGGCGATAGGAATCCAACATCCCTGTGGTTCTCTCAGGAGGCTCACACTTGCCTAGGCGAGAACCAAGGAAGAGACAGATGCAGAAAAATAAGTATAGGCAAAAAAGGAGAGCACTTTTTTTAATATTGGGGATAGGGATAATTTGAATGGGGCATAATGTTTTTTTTCCAATTTATACACTCCCTATGATATCCAAAATAGAGAATAAAAAGGTTTTGGCTTTTTATATACTTTATATAAATATAGAACCAGCGCCACAGTTTTAAAGAGCATCTGAAGGCGAAACCTTTTTCTTGGGAAAGATGAGTACCCATGTGAGGTTTTTCTTGTAGTCTGTGCCTCCTTGGAAGAAAGATACATGTGGTCTGTTTGACCTGATGACTGATGGCACTGGGACACATTGTGATGGTAAAACAAGCATCTTACAGCTGTCCTCAGAGCCAGAGGAGAGAGGAAATACTTTGATGGGCACACTGCTTTTAGTGACAGCTCTCTAACAGGGCATTTCCTCACATATTTGAGAGATTTCCCATCACTTTGTCTTCAGAACAGGAAGTTAAGGGAAATCTCTCCAGTGGGACATAGATCAAAATAAAAAACTTTAATATAATAAACTCTCTGGAAAGATTGTTGCAAAATCAACATACAGAATGCGAAATGAATAGGAGAAAAGAGCCTCCCTGAGTACAGAGAGGTACTTAACACGCAGGGCTCTCATAGGAGTCCAGCACATGGGCGCAGTATGCTGGTACGGGACTCAAAACAGGGATCTCAATCAGCACAACTAACCTGAAGAGGACAGATTAGATGAGAGAAAAGAAAGGAGCGAAGAGAAAGGAGACAAACATACATACACAAAAAAAAAGGGGGATTCCAGGGGGACCGCGGCAGAGAAATTAAAAATGTAAAAAATAAGCTGATATATAAGTTTTATATCGACAAGAGGGACTGGTCGAATCTTGACGGTTGAGCTATATCAAGCCAAGGACGCCATGTCTGTAAAAATTTTTAATGGGTGTCTAACAGTATAGTTGTCAACTTTTCGTTGACCATTATAAAGTTCATCCAGTTTTTGACAGCCTCGAAGCTGAGGAGGGGAGTCTTCCAAGCTCTCGCAATCGGCAGCTTGGTGGCCATGAACAAGTGCGATGCCAGCCGCCGTTCAGGGTGAAGTAGGCCCACTAATGGTTTAAATAACAGCGCTTCGTACGGGATGCGTTTAATGTCTGTGTGAAACATAGTGTGGGGAAGGGCGTAAACTCTAATCCACAATCTGCACACCTTGGGGCAAGTCCACCAAATATGAACCATGGTACCTATCTGCTGGCAACCTCGAAAGCAAGTCGGGGAATATGTGGGAATAAAACGAGCCAGACGAGCAGGCGTATAATACCATCTATAAAGAACCTTGTATGCATTTTCTAGAATAACATTCCTAGAACATTTGAATAATTGTTGGGTCATGATCCGCCAATCCTGCTGATCTAGAGTGCCCCCAAGTTCCGACTGCCAACGCTGGTGATAACAATGGACTGGAGGAGTTCTATGAGAAATAATGGAAGAGTAGACCAGGGAAATTAAGCCTGAAGCATGGGGTCTATGTCTACATTGACTTTCAAAGTGGGTCAACCTGTAGGGTCCCGAATGTGTCTGTATTAATGTATTGATAAAGTGGTGGAGTTGAAGGTATCCAAAATGTTCCCGCAATGGGATATTGTAAGAAGAGCGCAAAGTTTCAAAGGCGAGTATCCGAGTGGGAGTTAGCATGGAATGAATATCATGGAAGCCATTTGCTTGCCACCAAGCAAACTGTCCAGGATTATCTTGACCCGGGGGAATAATGGATTGTGTAGCAACCGTAATAACGGTAGATGAGCAGAAACGAGGCCAGCAGAATATTTAATGGAGTCCCAAAGACGGAGCGTTAATGTCAACGTCAGACTAAGGGATGTGGGTCGATGAGTAGAAGGAAGCCATGGTAAAGAAGAGAGTGGAATCTGGTGGGAGTCCATCAAGTCTACAGTAGCCCATAAAGGAAAATGGTGAGATGCATGGAGGTGGGCTAAGGGGGCAATATTGGCCGCCAAATAGTAAGACCGAAGGTTTGGGACAGATAACCCACCCTCAATCTTACGAGCAAAATAAGATTTGTTTACTGATTCTGGGTCGAGAGGAGCCCCAGATGAATGACAGAAGTTTACATTGGTGAATACGCAATATATGTGAAGGAACAGGGATTGGTAAAACTCGGAACACGTAGAATAATTTGGGAAGGTAAGTCATGCGGACCGCATTGATTCTACCGAACCATGAAAGCGGATGATGAGACCAGGAAGACATCTCCGTCAAGTCATTAAAAACAGTGGGGAAATTAGTCCGGTAAAGTCCTTCGTAAGTCGGAGTAAGCTTGATTCCTAACTACGGCAAGGCAGAAAGCCATTGGAAAGGGAACGAATGTTTCAGAGTCTCCAAAAGTGATGGTGAGAGGGTAATCGACATAACTTTGGACTTGGCAATACCGCAAGGAGTAAATTAGGGCAAAGTAACCCCCGAGTTCGCAACCAATAACAATATATCTTCTGCGAACATAGATAACTTGTGTTGGGATCCAGCTACATCTATTCCCTTAATATCAGGATGTATTCGAATGGCTTTCGTCGATGGTTTCAAAGCCAAGATAAATATGGGAGAGAGTTCCCCTGCCAATCGAAAACGTTGAAGACTCAAAACCATAATATTTGAGTTTTGCTTGAGGGGATGTATATAGCGAGGAAATCCAGCGCAAGAACAAGGGGCCAAAGCCAAAATGATGGAGGACCGGCATGAGATAAGGCCAGGACAAGGGTCGAAGGCCTTATTAATGTCTAGAGATAGGAGCATCATTTCAATTTTGTGAGAATGGGCCAAATGTTGTAACTGTATAATACGTCTGATGGCATCTCCGGCTTGTCTGTGGGGGACGAAACCTACCTGGTCCTTCTTAATCAAGTGAGAAAGGAACGAATTCAAACGAGTGGCTAAAATCTTGGTGAGGATTTTCATGTCAATGTTAATAAGGGAAATTGGTCTGTAATTTGCCCAGGAGGAATGATCTCGATCCGGTTTGGGGATCATAACCACGTTAGCAGTCAAAGAGTCAGGGGAAAAGTTTGCACCTCCCTTCACCATGTTGAACATAGCGGCAAGGTGAGGGGCAAGCACATCAGCCAATTTTTGTAATATGAAGCCGTGTATCCATCTGGACCTGGGCGTTTGCCCATCTTCAGGTCAGCAATGCATTGCAGAACTTCCGATACTTGAATATCACGGTCCATCAGGTCCTTATGAACCTGCGTCAAGGTAGATAAGGACAAGTGAGATAGAAAGTCAGAGATAGATTGGGGATCAGCCCGTGTAGGGATCCTACACGGGCTGATCCCCAATCTATCTCTGACTATAAAGTCTGGCTAATCGATGCCGGAACTGCTCCAATGCCGCTACAGGATTACTAGTGAGAATATTCTGACGAGGGCGTAGAGAAATCGGTTTAGGACGGTGCGCGAAAGAGCGCAATCTACGTGCCAACATGGAATCTGGTTAATTTGCTTTACTATACCATTTCTGGCGTGTCCATCGCAAAGAGCGCTCAGCCTCATCAGTCAAACAGAGATCTATTTCCAGGCGAGCTTGATCTAACAACCTACGGTTCGATAGGGTTGGTACCTGCTTAAATTGAGTCGACGCGGAAGCTAACTTTGATTCCAGTTGACTCTGCTTATGTTGTCTATCCCTTTTCTGCCTCAAAGCTATCTGAATAATATGACCCCGTAGAACAGCCTTGTAAGCTTCCCACAACGTCACCGAAGAAGAGACAGAACCCGAGTTTAGCTGAAAATATTCTTGGGATTTACGCACTAGTTCCGCCTGGATCTTCAGTGAAAGTAGAATCATTCATAATCCAAGAGGAGTAGGATGGCTTACAGAGGAGAGATCAACAAACCACCAGAATGGGGTCATGATCGGACCATGGAACCGTGAGGATAGAGACGGAGTGTACTAAGGGAAGATGTTTGCGCAACACAAAAGCATGGTCAATTATTGAATGAGAATGATGAGAGTAGTAAGTATAATCTTTTCCCCGGGGGTGGAATTCACGCCATAGATCTACCAGGTCATGGGTACTTAACGCACGGGTGTAGGATTTGGCTGACGTGGAATAAGTAGAATTTTCTGCAGGGTATTTATCTAGGGATGGATTTAATACTAAATTGGAAAATCTCCTGCCAGCAGAAGAGTACCCTGTTGATGGATAGCCAGGAGGGAGCAGATATGTGATAGAAAAGGTCCAGGGTTAACATTGGGAGCATAATAGGTCAGTATTGTAACATCAATACCCTGAATCGTGCCCTGTAATAATAGATACCTGCCGCTTGGATCAGCTATACGCTTCACACAAACAAATGGGGTTTTGCAATGAAAAGCAACAAGGACTCCCCTTTGTTTAGTAGGGCCAGTAGCCTGAAAAACCTGATGGTAGCGTGCATCGAAATATCTAGGGGCAGAGGTATTTGAAAAATGAGTTTCCTGCAGACAAGCAATGTCAACATGGCAAGCCCGGAGAAACTTAAATATCTTTACCCGTTTTTGCAGGGAGTTCATGCCCTGAACATTTAAGGATAACCAGTTTAGCGACATGGCAATCGGAAGGGAACAAGATCATCTCCGCCACGATCCCCGAGAACCCTGAAAATTTTTTTTATAAAAACACACATGACAAAAAAAACAGGAAAAAAGGAAGAAAACAAGAAACCATCTGGTATACGAGCAGTATTCACATGAAACCGTAAGATTAGCACAAACATCTTAATAATCCACTGTAGGTGAAATACCCACAAAAAGGCTGGCTAGCGGGCAGGACACCAATCCAGTCCACTAACCAGCTGGTAGGGGGACACCATAGTCCACCGGAACTACTCGACTCAATTAGGGCAAGAAAATACTGCACAAACAATTTAGGCTACTAAACCCAGGAACAAGTGACTTGTAGATAGTTAGCAAGGCAATAGGAAACTCAGTAGGCTAGAACTGCAAAAATGAAGAAGCTCCAAAACAGCCGGAGGGGTGAAGCCGCCCACGGGACCTCCCAGTGAGCCGATTCACATCCGCGGCCTGAGATCCGCCGCCGAATCCGCCCATCAACTATGACCTAAGTAGAAGCATCTACACAGAACTAACATGGTTATTTAGGCACAAACCTCTGTGGAGAAAGTGCAACAAGGCATAACTGCATAGGAACACATATGGGCGATGTCACCCGCATCTCAAAGGGTAAGAAAAAAAAAAACGTGAAAAACCCATTTGGGCACAGAATGTCAAGTTGCAGAAACTCCTGGAAACGCTGGGCCTGTAGAGATCTGAGAGCCACCCTGACCTGGAGGGGAAGACGTACGTGAAGACTGGGAACTCCGAGGGCGTGTAGAAGCTGTAGCCTCCTCGTTCAGGGGGGGAGGTAACTCCAATTTCAGTTCCTGAAAATGGCGGCAAAGATCTGCTGGTGAAGAAGCTTGGAATTGACGACCTTGGAAGGAGGAGAGCTTGAAAGGAAATCCCCATCTGTACTTAATATCAGCTGATTGTAAAATCTGGAGGTAGGATCTCAGGGTACGACGTTTGGCAATCGTGACTGGAGACAAGTCTGCAAACAGCTGAACAGAGTGACCCTGGAATTCCAAAGCCGGACGATTCCGAGCCGCCTGTAGTAGACGTTCTTTAGTACGGTAAAAGTGGAATTTAATGATAATGTCTCTGGGAGGGCCCTCCGTGGGCTTAGGAGCTAAAGCTCTATGGACACGATCAAACTCCAGTCGTTCCAAGGGGATCTCAGGAGCCAATTCTTGGAATAGAGCGGTAGCAGTACCCTGTAGATCGGTGATTACCTCAGGGATCCCACGGATGCGGAGATTATCTCTGTGGGCTCTATTCTCAGCATCTTCCAATTTATCTTTTAAAGTGTCCAGCTCAGCATGCAGATCATCCACCTCCTGTTCATGGCCCTCCAAGACCGTAGTCGCCAGATCCATACGTTCTAGTTGATGGGCACGATGGCCCAATTCTTTTAGGCCTCTTACCAGATCAGAAGATAGTTTACGAGAGGCGATTGTAATCTCTTCTCGCACTATGGCACGGAATTTGTGTAGTAAGGCTTCAGGGTTTTGTTCAGGAGGGTCGTTCATCCCCGATGGCGAACTGCTGCTGACTATCACCATCCGACTCAGGATCCCCTGTAAGCTGGGTGTTGTCATCAGGTTCAGGAGGGCTGGGCGTCAGCTTGGTGGTATGACTATGCGGAGGGGATTGCTGCTGGGCCTGATGTTTAGGTTTGGTGCGTGGGGTACGATGCATTTTTAGGAGAAGTCCAGGTAGTTCCAAGACACCTTCAACCTATTGAAAAAGTCCAATAGGGTGCAGAAGCCCAGTTGCCGAGATGTATGCTCCGGTGGCACGGCACAGGGAGATCACTTAGACATCTTCCCCGATTACGTGTGCGTGTCCCCCGACGGAGTTGCATTCACATAAGATTCATTGCTGCAGGACACATCGAGCATCCTGCCATAGCCAAGAAATTGTAGAAAAAGTTATCGCACTGAGAAGGGAGGAATGGATATAGACTGCGAGTGTAGCTATAGGAATATCTGTTAGAAGCTGACGTACTCCCAGTTAAAGCAGGTGTAGACCCCAAGATCTCGGCATCCAGTGAAGTGCGGGGCTCTGCGGTGTTCAGGCCGAGTGGTCTGCCATTATGAAGGCTTGCCAGGGGGGACCACAGGAGCCCCTAATTCACCCTTCATGGGGAGGGGGCTGATGGAAGAAATCTCCACCCCTATCAAGGGCTGCTCCTCCACTCTGGTGGGTCTCCGGGCCCTATTTATATTTGTGTAGGCCTGGTTTGGTCCCCAGGACCGACACAGAAGCCAGGGGGGCCCCTCAGGCTATCCCACTCGCTGACCTTATTGCAGAGGTCTGTAGTGCATAGCGGCAGCGTCTCTTCCCGGCCGATCCGTCCCGGTCGGTGTCAGGAAAGACCGCGGCTTCACACTGCGGTAGGCCGCAGGTCATCTGGCGCTCCGGATGGCCAGGGGGGGGGGGACAAAACCAACCGGTACCCTCCCCCAGGTGTCAAGCAGGGACCGGAGACACCCAGGCGACCAGTCAAGGTCCGCTGTCGCCGGGATGGCAGCGGATACACTTGCAGGGCGCCGGAGCTCAGGAACAGACGTCTGCTCCAGGCGCATCTTGGACACACCCCTACTTTACAGAGGTTTTAACTATTACTTGCATTATACAAAAATTAAAACGTTTTAGATATGCTTTTGTGTTTTCCATTCGCTACCTTTTACATCTCAGTCTTTGTTCCAAGGCATAGCCGTTTAGCCCAATCTCCTGAAGGCCAGGCTGAAAATCACTCCTTATATGATGTGTGATGCCTTCTTTGTGTTGCCAGACCCCAAGGGCATTCTGGGCTTTGTAGACTGAGCGGATAGCCCATGTTTTGTATTTTCCACATCTAGTTCTTCACATGAACCAAGGAGCTTTCACTGAACACATGTGAATTCTACTTCTATACCTTTTTTTGTTTTTTTTTTTTCTTACAGGTAGATGAAGATTACATTCAAGATAAATTCAACTTGACTGGACTGAATGAACAGGTTCCACATTATAGACAGGCACTGGATATGATTCTGGATCTAGAGCCTGGTCAGTGTGCATGTTCGTACTAGAACCTGGATATAAAAAACTGTGTTCTTTGTGACCTGAAAATGTATTAATTATACAGAAGCAGATGTTATGCATGAGCAGTATAAATGGTCACATGCTTTCTCCATACATGAGAGTGCCAGGTATTCTCGATGGGCTGCAAAAGGAGGAGCTGTGCCCTGGTGCGCCGGTAAGGTAAATACATGGAGGAAGGGCCTTTTCCAGAGTCCCTCTCTGCCTTGCCTTACATGTAAGGTGACAGTGGGGTTGATTTACTAAAGCTGGAGAGTGCAAAATCTGGTGCAGCTATGCATTGTAGCCAATCAGCTTCTAACTTCAGCTTGTTCAATTAAGCTTTGAAAAAAAAAAAAACTGAAAGCTGATTGGTTTCTATGCAGAGCTGCACCAGATTTTGCACTCTTCAGTTTTAGTAAATCGACCCCAAGTTGTCTCTAAGTGGGCTTCTCTTAAGCATGCTTAGTGTTAATGCTGTTGTGTAAAACTTTTTAGAGTGTTTTTATTAAATCTGTTATGTTCACTCTAGATTTTGTAGACTTATCAGGCCTATGGTGAAGCTGTTGATGCCCCAGTCCAAGCATTGGTTTTATCTGCTATCACATACATTGCTGAACCGCAGGCTGAATGTATGGTGTAAGGCCACGCATCCTAAGAACCAAAAAAAAAAATGTATTTTGCTCTTGTATTGTCCTTTTTCAGATGAGGAACTAGAAGATAATCCCAATCAGAGTGATCTCATTGAACAAGCTGCAGAGATGCTTTATGGGCTGATCCACGCTCGCTATATATTGACTAACCGCGGTATTGCCCAAATGGTGAGAAATCTGTACATGTGGAGATGATTTATTTTGTTAGAAAGTGAGGGTATATTCACACCAGATGCGATGGGACTGCATTGGATGGTTATTTCAGCATAGTCCTACTGCATGAACAAGGCAAAATGTCTTCTATATGCCCGGTTCATACCACTGCTTTGTGGTGGTGTGTGGGGACAGTGTGTTGATAAGCAATCCACTGCCGGCAATTGAACTTTAAGAGATATGAGATTTCTTTGTGACATCTCAGTAAAGTTTGCTAAAAACAAAATAAAAACCGTGTGATCCATCAAGCTCAGCACATCTTCGCTGTGCTAGATCACACTGCACACCAGCTGCTGCGCTGCAATGCCCACAGATGCATTCCTTAGCTTCTCTTTGCGCTCCACTTACCCCCCCCAATTCAGCTGTTGAGAGTGAAAGGAAAGCCCCATGTGAGCTATACTTTGCTGGAGACGAAGCTTACACTGTGCCATGAACTTCTCACATGAGGCATTAACCCTACGTATAACAGCAGATTGGCATAATAGAAGGCCCTGATTTTTGGATCTTCAAAATATGGAACTGTTTATGTAAATGTCTGTACATGCCTGGTTGGATGTTTGAAAGCTAGTGGATTAGAATGACATTTTAGAGAACCTCAGCTGTTGGGGCATTCCGGAACAGGTTCAGAGGGAGTCTTTGGTGATTGGTATCATTTGTTTCAGCTGACAGCCATGGCTTGTTTGTTTTTTTGGGGTTTTTTTTAAGTAAAAGTGACCCTCTTTTGCTGCTCTGTGAAGCAGCCAACTCCCCCACCTGCCCCCTTTCTCAATAAATGCAAAGCATTCGCTGAATGAGGTGGAAATTGAGATGTCAATGCCCCATCCTCTCAATCTAATCCAGCTACATAGAGATTTGCATTTGCTGAGAAAAATGCAATGCATTCTGTGAATAGCGGCTATGTCCTGCATGAAACCCCCCCCCCCCCCCCCGTAATTACTATGCAGAAGGGAAGCCCGCTCAGTACAGTACCTGTAAGACTGTGGCCATCACTGTAAATTACAGCTTCCACAGAGGCCATTCAGTTATTATATGTGCATGCTTACGTTGTGCTGCGCTGGCCTGGGGTAATTACACAAAATATATTATCCCTGGAGTTTAGGTTTAAAGCCCAGTTGCAGCTCCTAGAAAAAAATTAACCGTGTAATTCTGGGTTCTGAATGCAATTTGACAGTATAGACCTGCTAAAAGCATACAGAAACATGAGTGCACACTCTGTTCCTTCTGCTAACAGTATCATGCCCTCCTTGCAGAGCTTGCATGTTTCTAGATCATGGCTGGGAATACTCTGTCTACAGAGACCAATAACAGAGTCCTGCTAAATGATTTTCTTCAGTCAATAGTTTCCCATCAAGCACTTGTTCTGGTTTTTCTATACTAATGGCTGCTGATTTGATGTATTGAAATGCCTTCTAGGAATGCTTTTTGGGAAAGTCTCCCATACACTTAACTAATATACACATAATTTCTGTATGTATGCAAAAAAAAGCACACCGGTAATTTCTCTAAGCACTGCTTATTTATAATACAATAGTCATAGCAACCAAACACACACTGCATTAAAGTAATGCATTTGTTTTTAACAGGTTCACCTGTTCATGGCAAAAACTGCACATGACCCTATTTTTTTGGGAAGGCAACACTCTACCAAGTGTTGTGGTGTGCTACAGCACAGGTCCATTGTAAAATTTAGTGGCACCCCAGCATGCCGACCCAGTAGTGGTAACCGCTCCTTACTGGTTTCTGTAGTCAAATTAGTGGAAGATCACTTCTGATTACTTTCCTTCACATCTCCCTTGAGTTATGTGGGGTGACTGTTCCAGAACAGGACTTATGCTGAATGTGCTTTTGCCCAATGTTTAGCTTGTCTGCACTGGATCAATGCTTCTTTACACGTCACGGCTAGAACACCCGCTGTCTGGGTTTGTTGTGCAGTAGGATGCCATTATATCCTTGTACTGTATGTACAATAAACTCCAGTACTTATTGTACTGTATGTACAATAAACATTGTGTGTGGTGGTTTGTTTTTTGTTTTTTTCTGTAATGCAAATACCAGTGTCCACAAAACTCCAGTCCAAACAACTTTTTTTTTTTTTTTTTTTTTTTGGAGCAGTTTTTGATTCATACATTTCTTTGGAAAGGTTGCTAATATTCAGACTATCTGATCCAAACAAGCAACTTGGATGAATTGTCTGAGCTAGTCCTCCTTTAATGTCAGAGGAAAGGAAGGCAAGTCTGAGATCACCCCCACCATTTACATCTGTGACACGCTCAGAACAAGGAATAAAGCCCCCAAAAACCTCCTAATTTTATTTATTTTACTTGTATGGCTACTGAAGCTCTGGATACTCATGAATAAAGTTACAGTGGGGTTGTGTTGTCAGAGAATCTGTTCTTATCCACGTCAGTACTAGCCTGTTATACCTCTTTATTACCAGGCCATTTTTTAGTTTTCATTGCTGTGATAATTTGACAATTACTTGGTCAAACCCCATTCCCAAGTTAATTGTATCATTTCTTGAGATAGCTTTCCTTTTGGTGGCATTTAATAACCACTGAATTTATTTTTTACTATATAAGGGAAAAGACAGAACATTTTGAAAAAAAATGCTTCCCTTACAATTTGTTATAAAATATATCCAGAATTATAAAAATGTCAGGACATGTGAAAACCCCTAAGATTGGCTCTTTTTGGGATGTAGATACCCCAAGGTGATCTTATTTTTGGAAATGGAGAAACATCTGGTATTGGGGAGGGGGTGTGTGTGTTAAAGCAAGGAGCCTTGCAGTGGTGCACTAGATACATTAAATGTACCTTTGATTCACAGAGGGAAGAAGGAGGTACATGATATTGGCTTAAAGAATCAGAAGAACTAACGTTGCAACAGAGTTGTAACGTTAGTTCTTCTGATTCTTTAAGCCAATATCATGTGACAATATTGTGTCTGGTCATGTGATCAGCATCTTAATTAACTTGGTAGACCAGTTACTGTGGCAAAGGTTAGTCTTATGATGCTTTTCTTCCAGACTCGTGCATGCTAAAGATCTGAATATGGGGGATATTTGCCCTCACTTATTTTCTTGATGACACAACATAGGGCTTCCATCTTTGACTGTTTCAGTAGAACAGAGGTTCCCACCGGGAACTTTCCCGTCCTCTCTTCTTCCAGTGGATAGTTAGGGGTGAATTTCCACAGTGGAGACTCAGAAGCTTTTGCACTTGATCCAAAAATTCTATAAATAGTCAGAGATTGTAATTCCACTTTAAGAACTGTTATGACTTGCGTGTTTTGTATTCTGTCCCTGCAGTTGGAGAAGTATCAGCAGGGAGACTTTGGCTATTGTCCCCGTGTTTACTGTGAGAACCAGCCCATGCTGCCAATCGGTGAGTGCCCCTCTTTACTGATTCTCCTTCCTGTCCTTTGTGTTCTTACTTGTTTAAATCTTCGCTGCACAGGTTGTATTTAAAAGCAAACCTCTTCCCTCAGTGTCATCCCTCTAGGGCTGAATCAACGTAATCGATAATGACAATAGTTGTTAACAGTAAAAATATAATGGTAGTGAGCGCTCTCTATTATAGCAGCTGATACACTCAGGTAACCAAACAAAACCTCAAATATACAATAAATAAAGTGCGGCGCTAAGATGAATAAAGGTAAGATGACAAAGCTTGATATGAATCAGTCTATAAAAGTATAATAAATCCAGAAGTGTGCCAATATCAATCTTATATATCGGTGCTCCAGAAGAATGATAGGATTGCGCACTTACCAGAAGCGCATAGATTATGCGCATTAATGTATCCGTCTCATAAACTTCAGAGTAGTGATGTATGTATATGGCACATCCATCTGATCATGGGCAGCTCTGCAGCGAATGGATGATGTCTGCTCCAGATGTTTCCTTAAGGATCGATAGGGTCAGCCACCTGATTACAGGAATTCCCCTCCTCTGGATAATGGTAATCTTCCCAGGTTCTGCAGGCTTAAAGGCTGCTCAGGGATGAGGTAGTTAGCGGTTGGGGACACAGGAAGAGGAGTGCAGGCCGTGGAGGTGGCGGTCGTGGGGAGTGAGCAGCCTTTTAAGCCTGCAGAACCTGGGAAGATTACAGGAATTCCCCTCCTCTGGATAATGGTAATCAGGTGGCTGACCCTATCGATCCTTAAGGAAACCTCTGGAGCAGACATCATCCATTCACTGCAGAGCTGCCCATGATCAGATGGATGTGCCATATACATACATCACTACTCTGAAGTTTCTGAGACGGATACATTAATGCGCATAATCTATGCACTTCTGGTAAGCGCGCAATCCTATCATTCTTTTGGAGCACCGATATGTAAGAGATTGATATTGGCACACTTCTGGATTTATTATACTTTAATAGACTGATTCAAATCAAGCTTTATTGTCATCTTACCTTCATCTTAGCGCTGCACTTTATTATTTACAATAGTTGTCAACAATTTTCATTTATAGATCACTTGGTCAGCCAATTAGTTGGCCTGCACACAGAATGCATTATTTGTTTACATGTGCACAGTGCAGCACACATATAGCTCAGTACACTGTCTATACATGTCAATAAGTGCCTGAGAACCTGTGAATAAGTGAGAAGCAATACTTCATGGGAAATTGTAATCCTGGACAGGAGAAGGAAATTATTTAAAGTGACTCTACAGGCAGAAGGTTTTTTTTCTTTTGCCTTAAGGCGGGGGGGGGTTTTGGTCCAGTCAAAATAAAAAGCATAAGTCAGCAGCAACAAAAACTGTCGCTGCTGACTTAAAAAAAAATACCACTCACCTATCCCTCGATCCTGCAATGTCCTCGTACCGGCCATCCTGTGTCCCCGCCACTGGCATCTGCAGTGTGGGCACTAGGCTGTGACAGCTTGCGGGTTCGCAGCTGGGTGCCCGCTGCGCATGTGCAAGTAGCACTGTACTTTGTGAATGGTCCCATAGCCTTCTGGGACCTGTCACGCGTCCCAGAAGACTACGGGAGGGGGGGAGAGAGGACAACTTCTGCTTTCGATATCTGTGGGAGTGGGTACCCCCCTTTCCCCCCCCACTCCCTAAAGGTGTCAATCCTTAACGGGGAGCGGAACCTTAAAGTGGAACTTCCCCTTTTGGATGGAGCTCCATTTTAATGCATTAGGGTAAAAAAAATATCTGTGACCAGTTTCCCCCTTTCCCGTATATTTACCTGATTCTACCTGAGAGCACTGCTCTCTCCCTCCTCACAGGTCTCAAATGCAGCAAAGGATGGATCGGGGCAGACTCTAACTTCAATGTGTGTGCCAACAGAAGCACACAGTGCTTTGAGGGATTGAGCCCACATGACCACAGCAAACTGCTTGCTATGGGGGCATTCTGAAGGCAGGAGCAGCCAGGAGTGCCAGTGGGGGGCCAGAAGAGGATCTGTGCAATACCATTACACAGAGTAGGTAAGCATGACATATTGTTAAAAACGTCTCAGCCTTTACACCCTGGTCACATCAAAGCCAATTTTGAAATCGTGCGACTCCCAGTGAAGTCGCAAAATTTCAAAACCGAGTGACCTGCCTATTTCATTGCGATTTGCAAGACATCTGACACAGATGTCTATGCAAATGCAACAAAAGTAGTACATGTACTACTTTAGAAGTCGGAACCGCACCGGTATGACCGCTCTAATAGCGGACAATAGGGTGCGACTTGGCATACTATTTTCAAGTCGCATGCCAAGTCGCACCCAATGTGACCGGGGTGTTTAGTACTACTTTTTCACTTTAGGACTGCCCACTGTATTATTACTGTGGAGGGGTGGCCCTTTGTGCGCTGGATCATGTACATGCAGCTTTTCCTGGTAAAGGGTGCACCGCCTCCTCCCCTGCCTGATATGTGCTGTGATTTAGTACAGCAAAAGACGGTCAACAGGTCCCTACCAGTGATTTATGGCTGGGACCTGCTGATTGGCTTAGCAAATCACAGCACAGAGCCCTGTGTTTACGAACCACACAGGGCTCTGTACACTGAGCAGCGAGACAAACAGCCACATCTGTTAGTAAAAGCAGCAGACATCTCACACACTACACTTTGTTAGGCACACAGTTAACCCTTTGATTGCCCTAGATGTTAACCCTTTCCCAGCCAGTTTCATTAGTACAGTGACTAGGTACAGCATTAGCACAGATCACTGTATTAGTGTCACTATGTCAATGTCGCTCCCAGCCAGCGTCAGCTAACAGATTGCATACCACACTATCAGTCCTACTAAAAGTTGCTGATCACAGCCATTACCAGTACAGCATCCTAGCTGCATAAATTCCAGTATATGTACCATAGTTTGTAGATGCTATAACTTTTGCACAAACCAATTAATATACACTTATTTGGATTTTTTTGTTTGTTTACCAAAGACATGTAGCGGAATACATTTTGGCCTAATTTTATGAAGAAATCTAATCTGGGTAGAAAATCAATTTTTTTTTTTTTTTTTCCCAAAAATTTTGGTATTTTCATATAATAAATAAAAAACCATGTTGTGATCATATACCACCAAAGGAAAGCTCTATTTCTGTGAAAAAATATTTAATTTGCAGACAGTGTTGCATTAACCTGCAATTGTCAGTTAAAGTAGCTAAATAGCAAAAAAATACAGGGGGTAAAACCTTCCGGTGCTTAAGTGGTTAATATAAAAAGATTTATATTCCTCCCCAACTTGTTTTACAGAAGGCTGAGTTTTGGTTTTGAACCCAATAATAGGTGGTGGCACAAAAAAAAAAAAAAAACATGCTGCTGCTACTAAATGTCTTAGTGACAGCAGGTACATGTAGCTTGTATCAAGCTACCTGCCTATGACATGGGAGTCTCTCATGCAAAACAGTGCTGTAGTTCTTCCAGATTCAACGTGTGTGTATATTTACCACTGCATATTCAAGAATGTTTTTGTAAAACTTTTTACATATGACCTAAATTGTACACTGCATTTTTTAAAGTTTTTATCTAATTGATTAATCAAAACAATTGGCCAACTAATTGATTGTGAAAATAATTATTAGTTGCTGATTTCATCCCTCACATGTGAACAGTAGATTAAAATTGCTGATCTAAGTGACTTTTATAGTTTAAAATATTTATGTGGATTCTCTGAAAACTGTTGATATTTATTTACAACTTTATTTAGGTAATATGTACATTACGTAGTGGTAGTCTTTGGTGCTTTTTCCATTGTTTGAAAACATCATGAAGATAAATTCCCAATAAACACCTTCTGATCACATTTTGCACCTCAGGTCTCTCCGACATTCCCGGTGAAGCTATGGTAAAGCTGTATTGCCCCAAATGTATGGACGTTTACACCCCCAAGTCCTCCCGCCATCATCACACAGATGGAGCATATTTTGGCACTGGGTTCCCTCATATGCTCTTTATGGTTCACCCAGAGTATCGACCCAAGAGACCTGCCAATCAGTTTGTTCCTAGGTAAGTTGAATATTGCCATGAGACTTGTGAGGAATGAGTTAGATCATGTGTGACTGTAGGTGAGATCTGTAAACAAGGTGGAATGGGTCTACAAAATTCAAATGAAACTACACTGTCGATTGTCATAGTGTCACCCTCACTCCAGAATGAAATGACTGGTTTTGGGTTGAGGTTTGTAAATGGACAGCTACGAGACTTCGATTCACTGCTTAAAAGCTCATGTATTGATTGCAAAGTAATAACCCACTGTCATTTCCTGAGAGTACAGCTTAATGCAGTATGTGCAAGGATGTTTCAAGCTTATATAGGCAAAAGCTCCCCTTTTTGTGATGTTCTAAACCTGTATGTTTGGTAAAACACTGCATACATTGTGCTGCATTTCAAAAAGATTTAACATTTGTACATTGCAGATTTTGCTAAATTTTGTATCGCTTCCCAAAGAAAATACAAAAAGTAACACTGTAATAGAGGACCATGATTACTTACCTCTCTGGTGGGGTGGCGAGTCTCGCTGTTGTCAAGGAACCACAGCGCTTAGCAGGGGATGCAGGTATTCAGCATTCCCAGAAGAAGTCGAATGCTGAAGCATTTTCACTCATATTCAATATTTTGTTCAAGGGATGATTCTTATGATTTTTTTTTTTTTTTTTTGGGTGGAATCGTAAGTCTCTTCAAATAAATTTTATTTTTAGACTTGAATAACAAAGTGAGAGTGAAAGAAAAATGGCCTGGTTGTTGCCCATGATGAATTGGGCCCCTTTCACACTAGTGCCCCACAGTGGAAGGGGACCTCTGCGGACCCTGATATAAAGGGTAACTCTGATGTTAGAGGGAACATTGCGGACTGTGATGTAAGGATGGGGGCTTTGGTGACCAGAGAGACCACCTTACATCAGAGCTCCCCCTTTACATCATGGTCCGCAGTGCCCCCCCTTACATCAGCGTTCCCCTTCACATCAAGGTCCACAGAGGTCACCCTTGCACTGTAAGGGGGAACCCTGCAGAATCTGATGTAAAGGAAAACTCTGAGGACCCTGATGTAAGGGGAGCTCTGGGGGCAAGAGATCCACCCCCCCCCCCCCCCCACATCACAGTCTGCAGCGTTCCACTTTACATCAGTCTACAGCATTCCCCTTTACACATATAAAATCTATAAAATCTTTTATCAAAGTCGTCTTACTGTCTTTTTTTGCGGGGGGGCACTTCAGAATTCTCTGCTTTATAGGCTCCTGAGATACAAATCTGGCCTTGGCATGAGGCATAAGTAAGCGTAGTGTATTTAGATGTCTAGCAAGGCTTTTTAATACATGAACTCCTATAAGTACTCGCTTCAGATTCATGTTTTATAGGTCCAGTTTCTCCATTGCGTTCCCATACACAGATTTGAACTTCTCTGGTTTAATATGCTGTAGTACTTGGCAAATCGATGTAGTGAGAGTTTGCATTGGTCTGCATAAACTAAACTGTTTGAGGACCGGTTTCTGCATGCATGTTTGTGATGCATTCCAGATGCCCTTTTTTCCCGTTTTTTTTCATATTTTTTTTTTCTTTTTGGTCAGTGTTCAGTGTGGTTTTTTTTTTTTTTTTTTTTTTTTTTTTTTTTTGTGTTCCGATGCGTTTTATATGCGTTTTTTTACCGCATTTTAGTACAGTTCTGTGCAGAACAAATGCAGCCTTGTTCTACTTTTTTCTTCTTTTTTTTTTTTTCTTTTTTTCCGCACTGAAACTGCAAGCATTGGTGTGAACCATGCCATTGAGAACCATGTAACCTACTTTTTTGTGCATTTTGGATGCAGAAAAAAAAGGCACCGGAACGCATGTAGTGTGAACCAGCCTTTAAGGATAACTGCTTTGATAGAAAGTAGAATTATCTTTTTGCCCATTAAACTGAACTATATGTCTCAATATCAGTCTGTTTCTTCAGCTCCCAAAAATTGTGGCAAAAAATCGAATGAGTTTGGAGGTGTCCATTTTACAAAAATGGGTCATTTTGGTGTGTTTGTTCTGTCATTTGATGTTTATAATAAAGTGAGGGAATTGTGTGTTTTTTTTTTTTTTTTTTTTTTTTTTTTTTCCCTAAAATGCTTGGGTCTTTTTCTTTTATATATTGTAAAAACCATGACTATTTGATACTGCTAAAGGATAGCTCTATATTGTATGTCTTAGGGCCAGTTCACACCACAAAAATGCACTCCAGATGCATTCCGGATATGTTTTTGCTTACAGTTCACACCACATGCAGCTCCGGTGCAGTTTGCTATGCTCCAGTATGGTTCTGTGCAGAAATAATGCAGCATGTTCTACTTTTTTTCCACGCCGGAAACTGACTGCACTGGTGTGAACTAGGGCCATTGGAATACATAGAAAACATTGTGCATGCATTTTTGATGCAGAAAAAAAAAAACGCACTGGACTGCCCTTAGACAATATTAAATTAATGTTGGGTACAATGTTGCATGACAGAGAAATTGTCAGTCACTCTATCACAGCACTGAAAATTGGCCTGGAAAGGAAAGGGGGTTTGAAATGCTGAAGTTGAGGTAGTTCTGTTTCCACCAGTGCTGTTACATTGAAGTGGTGGTGGGCACAGAACTCCCAAGAAAGGTGAAAAACAAGATTCTAATGATTGTTGACCGCCCCCTATACAAGTTTTTCTGTTTTTTGACATTTGTTTTTAATTCCCTATTTTAGGTTATATGGCTTCAAAATCCACCCAATGGCATACCAGCTTCAGCTTCAGGCAGCCAGTAACTTCAAAAGTCCTGTGAAGACCATGCGTTGAGACCCGCTCAAGAATACGGTTTCAAGATGAGGCCTGGTGTGACCCCCTAAGCCTCATTGTAGTGCACCAGTCAATGAGCTGTCTTTTTCAGTGTATGGTTTCCCACCCCTGTTTTGATTTTAGTCCTGTTAAAAGTGTTCATATTGCCCCAAAGATGTGGGGGAATAAAGTTATATAGGATGAACCTTTTTGTAGTCTTCTGTGTCCTACGTCTGGTAAGGCTGATGTCACAATAGTCTGACTTTTTCAGCCTTCTACCTAATTGAGAAAAAAAAAACACAGCTTGCCTGCACCTTGCTGAAATACATCAGCTCGCTTGGCTACACCCAAGGATTGCCTCCTTGCTGAGTATACAGAGAATGCAATACATTCCAAAAATGCTGCTGTTCTTTTAGTGTTTGATAACTTAGGTCAAGGGTCTCCAAACTTTCTAAACAAAAGGTCCGTTTCTTGTCCTTCAAACTTTAGGGGGGCCGGACTGTGGCTAGAGGGAGTGGAAATTTTCCTGGCATCAGTGGGAGTAAACATTGCCACATCTGGTATTAGAGGGAGGAACAGTGTCCTATCATTGGGAGGAAGAGTGCCTCATTACTGCTGTCAGTGGGAGAAATGTGCCCCATTGTTGGTGTCAGTGGGAAGAACAGTGTCCCAAGGGCCAGATAAAGGCAAGTAAAGGGCCATAGTTTGGAGACCACTGACTTAGGTGATGGGGAGGATAATCTCTATTAGGAGTTAGTGTTACTAAACCCACAGCCGTAAAATCAGTCTGTATATGCAGTAAAGCATGCTTGTTATACTCACTGTGGAACCTTAGGGGTTAATCGTAAAAAGGCTGTTTGATCCTGTCTTTTTTGATCCTCCCCTTCTACTGTACCCAACCCATCTGCTGACAGAACAGAGCCTTGGGGGCAAGCTGCTCATGCTCAGTTTAGTGTGTATTGCTAGAGTATGTTGGGTTTTTCCTTTTCTTGGGAGAGTGCATGTGATCAGCATTGTCCAGACAGAAGGCCAGGGTTCCTGCAGCCTCACATGACAATCAGGGGAGAATGAAAACTCTTCCTACAAACTTTAACCAGTGCTCAGCTGAACACTGAGAGAAGTCTGCTCTAACGTCTGAGGAGAAAAGGTATTTTAGCAGTTTATATTTACTAAAGTAACATTTTAATGTTCACCTAAACTAGAATTTCATTTTTTGCATGAATATTGGTGTGCTGAATTGCATGCTAGCTTCACTCATTGCAGAAACCCCAGCAAAAAACATTCTGCCAAATTTCTCCCAGTGCTAAAAATAAATACTACAATGACACAAATGAGTGTCAGCTAATCATTTTTCATTAATTCAGAATAAACAAAGTACAAGGAAATCTGGATATAACACCCTTGTTATGGCTTTGTGGAAGGTAAGTTTGCTGCTGGAATATCTCAAAGGTGTAAATATTTGTTTATTTAAATATCTTGCAAATGTACAGCTTATTAAAAACATTTACATATATACAAAAATAAAATAGAGCTATATACAAAGAAACATTATTTTTATCGGTGAACTACTAAATTATGAAAAACAACCCTACCTCAACCTAAACACACCCCTCAGGCTAAAACGATTAAATATTGAACCCATGTATAGTTGTGCTCAAACGTTTGCATACCCTGGCAGAAATTGTGGCATTGATATTGAAAATATGACTGATCATGCCACAAAATGCTAGTCAGTGCTTCCACATAAGAGCTAACAAACTCATGGGCTATTTATACACTGACACTAATTGCAATTTAAAAAGCCACAGGTGTGGGACATTAACCTCTAATTGGCATTTGGTGTGTCACCTTGTGTGTCTGTACCAAGGCCATATATTGCAGGGTATGTAAACTTTTGATCCTGGCCATTTGGGTGATTTCTGTTATGATTTAAAAAGGAGCCAAACAACTATTTGATAATAAATGGCTTCATATGATCATCATCCTTCAATAAAAGAGCATTTTTTGGCAAGATCAGTCATATTTTTAATATCAATGCCAAAATTTAACAAATTCTGTCAGGGTATGTAAACTTTTGAGCACAACTATGCCTCCTTTTTCTAAAAGTCTGATCTTATAAAAATATTGGGATATGAACGGATAGAACAAAAAGCTGCAAACTCAGAGACTGCAGCTATGTGGACCTGACATTCCTCCCCGCCTTTGTACAGGCCTCTTGCTGCCACCTGTCTTTCTCAAGACCCCAAATCTTCCCTGCCTCACCCAGAATGTTGTGCACCACTACCTCAACAGGATGCACTTTTTTCCCAGTGGAAACCTGACACTGCACGTGAAGTAGCTGACTACTAAGCTAAACAGAAAAAGTGCCTCAAAATCCCAGTGAGTTTGAAAGGCTTTGTATGACCACTGCATAAGAAGTGGGAAAGGACAGGGATAGCTAGAGCCCCTCTCATCTGCTTATAGACGTCTATAGTGAAGGGGTACTGAAGCAAGAAATGGTCCATCGTCTTATCCACACCACTACACTCCAGTCTTGGACAACCATGGTTCTCTGAAGAGCGATGCTTCAGGTTGCCCTTCACACAATCTGTGCCATGGAACAAGCGCCAGGCCAAATCCTGAAACTTTAAAGGGATTCTTTCCAGATTTATCAAATGCAGACCCTCCCTCATAACAGTGCCTGGGCAATCCCTTGAGGGCAGTGGTTTGCTAAAGGCAGATTCAACAACCCTCCTCTCTAGTGCCTTCCTAGGAAGAGACAATTTCCTCCACTGTCACTCGCCATTACTGAAGCATTTTCAGGCATGGGACAACATCAGCTGGGAGCTTACCATGTTGGACCCTCAGACTTTTTACTGGCCCACCATTCTCCCATCGTCTCAGAAAAGGCCTAAACCAGGACTGAAAAATGTCAACCCACCCTGGTGGTTTCTCTGCCAGCAATGTACCAAAATTATGTTTCAAAAACCAGAGAAAAGAAAACCACCGAGTTGACCATACTAGGTCACCCATCAACCTACATGCTCATTTGAAGTCTGTGCTGAATTTTAAGTTTGCCTTTTTAAAGTGAAACTGCACTGCATCTGTGCACCACAAACTAAAAATGCTATATAATTTGTTTTTAATATTCAAAGCAGTCTCCTCCATCCATCCACATTTCCATGCTTTATTCTGCTGAGAAATTATTTTGAAAAAACACTCCCTGCATTTCTGACAGTGACCATGTAGAAGATAATGTAAGGGCAGATGATTCATGTAGCATTTACTTCCTAGAATCCATCTTCCCTTAGCTCGGGCACTGGCTGAGATGAGAATTCTCCCTCCCTTTCTGAAGATTTCTGGGATGTATGACATCATTTGCTTAGGCATGGAAACCAGGAAGTAGCTGGAGAGAGGAAAAAATAAGTTTAAAACAAGTAAATATGATATCTTTTCCTATCTGTTTACTAATACTAGCAGCAAAGGGATTAGAAATAGTCAATGTTAATTGAGAGAGTAAAGTTCCACTTAAATGCAGGACCATTAAGGGGAAGACAAACAGAACAATGCCACCAGCATGTGTGTTTTTTCCATTCAAAGCAGCTAGTTCTTGGTAACTGCTGTCTCTGTCTAGATGCACATACTTGCCTTCCCCTCTATTCGCTGTTTTGAGAGAGAAAAAAGCAAACCCTATGTTCAGCTGGGAAGGGTGAAAAAATAAAGGTTCATGTTAAGAGCTCAACCAGGTGTACATGGATAATAGCGATAATATTTATTAAATAAAAACTGCTCACACAGGTAGATGAATGCACATTTCCAATGGCAGAAGGGTACTTCTAGTTAGACTTTGTCAAACCTACAAAATGCGTCCATGACATCAGATGCACCAGAACCAGATGTGCTCTCTCTGCCATTTTGATTATTGGAATGTAAATTCATCTACTTATGTGAGCAGTTTTTATTTAAAAAATTAATTTCTAGTGGAAATTTCTGCACTATTCTGCTGTTTCTTCTTTTTAGGATTGATATTTAACCTGACATTGGGGGATTATGTAAATTGGGAGTACCGATGAGTGATTTAAACAACTTGTACAAGTGCAATCACTGCAATCTGTGTTCTTAAGGAGAACTACAGTGCTCAAAAAAATTAAAGGTACACTTTAAAAACACATCAGCTCTCAAAAGGGAAAATAATCATGCTGGATATCTATACTGATATGGACTGGGTAATGTGTTAGGAACGTAAGGATGCCCCATTGTTTGATGGAAATGAAAATTATCAACCTACACAGGACTGAATTCAAAAACCACAAAAAAATCAAAGAAAAAAAATGATGCAGTAGGCTAGTCCATTTTGCAGCAACTCAAAATAGTACTCAGTAGTTTGTGTGGCCTCCACGTGCTTTTATGCATGCCTGACAACATTGGGGCATGCTCCTAATGAGGTGACGGATGGTGTCCTGGGGTATTGTCTCCTAGATGTGGACCAGGGCATCCCTGAGCTCCTGGACAATCTGAGGTGCAACCTGGTGGTGTTAAATGGACCTAAACATGATATCCCAGAGATGTTCTATTGAATTTAGGTCAAGTGAGCTTGGGGGCCATTCAATGGCATCAATTCCTTCATCCTCCAGGAACTGCCTGCATACTCTCACTGGCAGGTGTCTGTGGTAATAAGCCCTTGTAGATCGCCAACTCAAGGTTCCCCAGGGTGCGGAGTCTAAGCCCCAGCCTGATTCTTCACCAAGGCCCCTGATTGTGGAGATGGACTTGCAGCAAGCTGGAACCAGGTCGTGGCCCCCAGGTACGCCCAGTTGAGGATGCAGAGACTGCTCACTTGAGCAGAGTACTATAGCAGGTGACAACAGGAAATCCGGGAGACAAACCAAAGTCAAGACAGGTGGAAAACAAGCACAGTCGGTGGACGGAGCCGGGATTGGTACATGGGTAGTCAGATACAGAAGTAGCAATAAACGGGAGCTCAGAATACTAAGAAGTTGCTCAGGCAAAGTGGGCTAGACTTAGCATGTCTTAAACAGACA